TGGGGGTCGGCCTTGGTTCTGGTCGGGATTCTGCTGGGTTTGACGGTCCGGCTGAACCGCTGCAGGGCTCTGATCGCCAACCCGTACTGTGACAATGTCTCACTGTTCAAGCTGTCCTGTGAGAGCGTGGTGATCAATCAAATCTACGGCCTGACCTTCACTGTGGTTCTGTTCACCTCCTCCATCGGCAGCATCCTCTTCACCTACACCAGGATCACCATGGTCTGTCTGACCAGCAGTAACAAGTCTATAAACACTAAAGCCCTGAAGACCTGCAGCACACACCTGGTTGTGTATCTCATCATGCTTTTCTGTGGTATTTTAATTGTAGCTATGCATCGTTTCCCTCAGTACTCTGAGCAGAGGAAAATATCGGCTATCCTGATCCATTTCATTCCCACCAGCCTGAATCCCATCATTTATGGAGTTCAGTCAAAAGAAATTAAGAAATTATTGTCCAAGTTTTTTCAGTCTAGGAAGATTTTTTCTTTGTCTTAGAAACTAATGTGTTCAGGGAGTTAATGCATTACATTAGAGGTATATTGACATATATTCCTTAATTTTAGGAGATTGGCGATCGGCCGATATTTGCATGAGAAGCCAATTTTATCCTCCGATCTCATATACCTCAGCAAAGCTCCCTTATTGCTCTCTAATGAGAGATGTTTGTCTGGCAGACTGGCCCATCAGGTCAGGTCTGCATGTTTGCAGTTAACAATAGTCACCCCTCTGTCACCAACTCAGCAACTTTCATCCTATATTTAGCAACATTTCAACCAAACAAATTGGTTTCAGAATCAATAAAGTTCAGCCATCAAATGGAAACAGGAGCAGCCTTAGTTTTCTGTGATATCAGCTGGACTAGAATCCTATTTATCTGAGCAGAAATCCTGATTCGTTCCTCAGCGCTTTACGTTTTCCACTGTGTGATTCAGACAGTCTGGTTTGGATCAGACTGTCCTGAACCAGGACAGTCTGTTACTTTCTGAGCTCAGTAACAGGTTTTCACCGGATTGATCCGTTTCATTCCAGACTCTGTTCCGACCACGTCCAGCTGAACTGAACTCTGCTTCTCAGAACCGCTTCTCTGTGTCCACCCATAACAGGCAACCCAGCCAAGAAACTCTTCAGGCTTTTTTCTTTTTCTTTTTTCTTTTATCAGCAACATGTTACTAAAACCCAGTTTGTTTCAATTTCTTTGGTCAAATTTGTGAAAAATCCTCACACTAACATTTTTAAAGGAACCATAATATTAGCGCCAACAAAGTAATACGAAGCTTTAAAATCTCCCTGCATGGTTAGAAGACAACACAGTGGAGACTCTGGGGTGGCCTAGTCAAAGCCCAGAGCTCTTCACAGCTGACCCCCAGCAGAAGTGGCTCAGTTTAGGAGGAAGAATGGGGAAAACTAAGCAGCCTGACATATTAACTGGAAAGGAGGGAGAACTTATTCAATGACTTTTTTTTTACATAGAATATTTTTATTTCAAGTTCATTATTTTGGCAGTTTTTACTTTGGCAATAATGCTGGTGTACGTAACTTTTTTATATAGTTTTTAAAATATTTGTTGAAATAGACTGAGCAGGAATGGTGTATATTTGTGACTAATGTAGGAGCTAAGAAGGTGGAAGAGCCAAATGTTTTCACAGATTGTCTGACTTCTGTTAATGTGTCACAAAATTGTGACTTTTCAAAAAATAAATAAAGAACTGATTTTTTTAAATAAAAGTTTCATATGTTTTCTTATAAAAACAAAAGATGTTGTTGATCATGTCTGATTTAAAAAACACAACACAACAAAAATAATAAAACTGATGGCTCTGGTTCTTATGGTTCTGATTTTGATGGTTCTGGTTCTGGCCTCCTGGGACAGTCCAACTGAACAGTTGGTATAAATCTACCCTCAGTGAATGTCTCCCAGGTTGCCTCTGGTTCCTCTGATTCCCGGGTCGGTCTTTGGGTCTCACCTTGGTCTTCACGCCTTCCACCAATCAGGAGGTCAGAATGAGTCTCAGGTTTAAACTGAGCCCACCTGCTGATTGGTCCAGCTGCTTAATATTGTTGTGACTCATAAAACTTTGTTTTATGAGTTTGTCTCTGAGGAAATACTCCCAGTATCCTGACCATTAATCTCCTAATTATACTGCAGTTCATTATACTCCGGTTTTCACGGGAGTAACGATCCAGCAAGAACCCGTGATAGACGAAATCCATAAAGTAGTAACCTTTATTTATTTATTTTTATTTTTTTACAATTATTATCAATGAAAAACTCCATAATACATTGAAACCAAACAACTAAACCTTTTTACAGGCCCAAGCATTTGTTTAACAAATTAAAGTACAGTATAAAGTTTTTTTTTTTTAAATAACTACCATACTGTAAAATAATAATTTTAATCATGAATATGAACTTGAGGCTTCAAATTGCGGAGATCAGCACCGCCCCACCGCGACCCGAACCATTGGATTAGAACGGGAGAAAATGAAAAATGATTATTAAAAAATATATGAAGTCCAGTAGGACAAATAGTGACTCGTGTATTTCTGACTGAGCCGCTGCATCCTGACTCCTCTCTGCAGTCCTTTTTCTTCTAAAGCCCACAGTGCAGGTGTGTTTTTTCAAGAGAAGAAAAAACACACCTGAGTGACAACAACTATAACTAGTTGTCCTTTTTCTTCTGGGCAAAATGATTCTTATAAACCGACATGCCGCCATCGATTATGTTTGAGCAGCATGTCCAGAAGTTTAACTGTTTCTGCGATAGTTAGAATCTTCCTCTGGCTTTTGGGCCCGACCTCAAGTGCCTTTTTGTCTGTGCAAAACGTTTTGTGGACATTATGGGTTTTAGAAAAACTTGAAATTGCAAGAGAATTTGCTAACTTAAATTTGGCAAGCTGTTTAACGTACAGCACGTTTACACATTACACTGCAACGTTATTGACACACAGAGAAGCGAAGAGACTGCTTAGCCAATCAGGACACAGAATACAATACACTGTGGAAAAAAAAACTGCACAAAAAATCCACAAAGCAGCGAGACCGTGAAAGATGAACCGCGTTATAGCGAGGGTTCACTGTACCAGCAGTTTCAAAGCTTTCTTTTTTTCTGCTATGCTGCCCCCTTTTGGTGACCTTAAGCATGTGTTCATGCTTAAAGTCAAGTGACACAATTGATCATTTCTTTTCAAAACTAACAGACTGTTTATTTTTTTAAAATTTTTATGGCTATGTCAACAAAATGCTGAACAGCAGTTTGCATAGAAACGATTGAACCTTTAACTTTTGGGATAAAGTTTAATCACTTTACAACCTGCAGCCTTGGTGGAGACTTTAACGTCAAAGTGACTGATGTTTACAGTTGCTGGTGCAGTTAGACTCATTAAAATGTTGAATGACATCACTCAATAACATAATTATTCTTTCTGTTGGTTTATATAACTTAACAAATCTTAGGTTTATTCCTACATATTTAACTAAAACATTTTGACTTCTCCATAAAGTCAGTTGACCATCAGCTGTCACGGGTTATGGGACAGGATGTTTTCTCAGATACAGGCATGCAATGCTGCTTTTATTTTGAAACATCCCTGCGTCTGGATCTGGAAACAACTTATTGCTGTTTACATTCAGTGATGACGCTTCACCCAAGTTTGACAATGTTGCTATAAATCTGCAGACTGAGCTCAGGAGTCAGAAGAGGAGGTTTCTGTCAACAGCGGTGAGAATCTGACTGAATATGTGCTATTTGTGTCATGATTCAAACTTTTACTGGGTTTGACGTCAAGTTTGGTCCTTTTACTGGCAGCGCTCTCTTAACAGATTATATATTTCTGTTCTGATAATATTGTAGTGATAACAGTAGTGTTGTCTGCCTCATCATGTTTATCCTCGTCATCATTTTAAAAGGAACCAGGAGCAAAGAAACCAACATCTGGAGTTTTGAGCAGAAATAGATCAATTTCTGACATCCTTGTCAGGTTTTGTCATTTTCCAGTCTGCTGAGTGAAAGCTACTGGAAGGAAACCCCAGCTGTGATCTGATGAATCTTCTGGCAGGTTGCTGCAACACCAAATCATCAGTTGACTTACCGTCAACTTTTCATGTTTTTTACTCTCTAGTGATGAGGAGGATGTTTAGAAGTGTTTTTGTTTTGCATTAAGCTTCACATTTATCATCATGGTCTCTTTCCTGTACTCACTTTCTAATAACTGGCTCTACACAAAGCAGAGATGAATGTTCATGTCCTGATTATTTTTGGTTATATTAATTGAACTTTGATAGGACCTCCTGTGAAATATTGAAGCTGCCATTGCTTTGCCTTTGTCGTGTTTGTTGAAACAGTCATTCCTCATTGAGATTTAATTATTTTAAGAGACACAAGGTTTGAAAACAGTGCCTGTTATGCAGCGTGTGAAAAGGTGAGAGTTCATTGTGGTCTCAGCCTGTCTGATTTGATGCGTACTGGTTCTGAACAAAGCTATGTTGCTTTTCTGTCATTAACTGAGGATCTGAAAATAAAATCTAACATTTTTGAGTTCTCTCACATTTTCAGGTACTGATCACCCAAAGTAATTTCAAATCAGGACAAGCTGCTGGTTTCATCTTCAGGTTTCAAGCAACCAGAGTGCTGAGTTGAGCGTGTTGTTACCAGAGCCATTGCTTTGGAGTAAACGTGTTGAGCTGCTTTAGTGAGTGTTACTATGATTGGGTCACTGCTGAATACGTGGGGTGCAAGTGTCGCACATCAGATTAGTTTATCACATTCACAGTAGAGTAATTGACCGAACTGACATTTTGTTTGTAACGTGCCTCCAGACAACATTAGTTTTTGAATTGGTGATATGAAAATACACTGAATGGAACTGAATTAATGTAAAGTACTGTGAAGGCGAAGGCAGAGATGTATCAGGTTGGAGAAAATTTGAGGATTTCTGCAGGTGAGACTGACTGCTTTTGGTGGATTTTGTTCTTTAGGCATCATTACATCTGACCCTTTATGGAAAACACAACTCTAGATCCAGACCTTTTGCTCCTGGAGGGGTTAAAGGTCACTCCTTCTTCGTCTATCCCAGTCTTCATCCTGCTGCTCCTCATCTATGTCTTCGTGATGCTGTCCAACGTCGGCCTGGTGACCATGATTGCCCTGCAGAGGAGCCTCCACCAGCCCATGTTCCTGCTGTTCTGCAACATGGGTGCCAACGATGTGCTCGGTGCCTCCACCATCATCCCCCCGGTGCTGAGCACCATCTTCACACCGACCGCGCAGAGGTACATCCGCTACAGCAGCTGCGTGCTACAGGCTTTCTTTGCTCACTTCCACGCTAGCGTCGTCCACACCGTCCTTATGATCATGGCCTTTGACCGCTACGTGGCCGTCTGCAAGCCGCTGCACTACGCCACTATCATGACCAGCAGGATGGTGGTGAAGCTGTCCATGTCAGCCTGGGCGGTGTGCTTGCTGATGGTGTTGGTGCTGGTGGGGCTCAGCGTCCGCCTGTCCCGCTGCCGGGCGGTTGTACTCAGCCCGTTCTGCGACAACCCCTCGCTGTTCAAGCTGTCCTGTGAGAGCATCCTGGTCAACAACATCTACGGCCTGGCCTACACCGTGGTCCTGCTGGGTTCGTCACTCGGCAGCATCACGCTCACCTACCTGCGAATCGCCATGGTGTGCCTCACCAACCGCAGCAAGACCAACAACTCCAGGGCGCTGCAGACGTGCGGCACTCACCTCGTCCTCTACATCATCACCTTCCTTTCAGGAGCCCTCATGATCTTTTTCCATCGATTCCCTGACTTATCAGACCAGAGGAAGATGGCCTCCATCCTCTTCCATGTTGTTCCTCCGGCTATGAATGCCATCATCTACGGACTGCAGATCAAAGCCGTCCGCCAGAAGATTTTCATCTTATTTACAAAGAACACAATGGCAGAAATGAAGGGGTAAAATAAAACATGTACTCAAATGTAAACAGAAACATAATCATCTGTTAATATTCAGAATATATTTCACTTTTATTCCCAATTTTTTATCTGTACTTGGAAACATCCACAAGAACTGCTGTTTATTCAAACATATTTATACTTTAATGTCCATTTTTGTTTCATTAAGTATTATGAACATGTTCTCACATACAGGGCTGTGAAAAAAGAGACAAAGGTTATGTAAAGAGAAACAGAAATAAGTTTTCAAATTATAATTATTTATTAAGCAAACTGTGAGAATACACAGCTATGTTACATATATTATAAAGAACTGTAATTATAAATCAGTCTGATTAATAAAAGCTTTATTTAATGAAAGTATCACCTTTAAAGTTTAAAATTTGAAATACATCAAGAACTGGAAGATCAGTTTCCTGGTTTGTATTTTCTTATTTACTATGAAAAGAAATTCTAGATGTTTAACTTTTTTGAAAAAATTACACTGTTTTAATTTATTAGGGAACAAATTTAGTTAAACATAACAAACTTAAAGAACAGTAATGGAGCAGCATAACCCTGATAATAAATCCTACCAGACTGGACTGATTTAAAATTTCAACTATATCACTAATGCAAAAAGACTCATTAATCTAAGAGACTGTAGACTGTTATACAACGTGATAACAGTTGTATTGTTTTATCTGAAGCAGAAAAAGTTTGAAAAGCTCAGCTGGAAAAATATATTAGCTATTCTTCATGAATTTGAAGGATAGCTAATATCAAACAGGATTTAAAATCCTGTTATGGATCAGAATATTGTTTCACTCAGTCAACACCTGCCTAAAAAAAACAAAAAAACTACATTTGTTAAATTTAGGGGAGTCCACCTTCATCGTCACCATGGAGGGGTGATGATTATTAATTATTATGAAATTAATAATTATAATAACATACCCAGAAAATGAGTTTAAATGCTTCAAAATCTTTTTTCTTTAAAATTAATGCAAAGCTGCAATTTTGTTTTGCGTGACTTCACACTACTCTGTCAATGAAACAAAGAAATATATATGATATCTATAAACATTATTCATAAATAAATAATATTTCTATAAATATGATTGTGCTTGTTTTTATTCACTTCTCTGTGAATGCCCATATTCTGTTGAGCAGCAGACATATCTTAATGAAAACACAAAACCATTTTTAGAACATGCTTTTATTGTGAAAAAGCAATGAAAGATTAACATATTGTTATTCTTATCCTTGATTTCAAAAAGTTTGAATATGCCATTTCAGCTTCCATTGAAAACAAAACTCTGCACATGTGAGTCAGATCAATATTAATGTAAATCTGTTTATCATAATTTACAGCAGAGGAGAAAATAAACAGCTAATCAGCATCATCACCTTCTACTTTTAAGCATGGGGGTGGAGGCTCATGCTATGGGCTTGTTTGCAGCTGCAGGATCGTTGCAGATGTCGAGTCATGAACTCCTCCTGATCCAAAAGTAGCTTAGAGACACTAAAACAAAGGAGCAATACATGAACTCCTGTTTGGATTCAGAAAAGAGTTTCAGGCGCATCTGGAAGCTGCTTGGCCTTCAGGTCAAAAAACCATCAAATAACATGGAGTTCAACTCAAACACAGTTAGAAATTAATCTAAAGTGTTTTCTGACAAAGTGCAGAATAAACTTTATGAAGTTTAGCAAGAGCTACTCACCTTATCAAGATTGTTGGTTGAAATGTGGCAATAAAATAGTTCAAACATCTGCATTTTCATTTACTGTCAAAGACAATGGCTGTTTTGTTGTGAGTCCAAAGCAACGTGTTAAAAATCACTTAAACATTCTCTGAACTCAAACTGAATCACCTAATTAATAACTCAGTTAAGGAAATGAACAAAGATATGGTTGCTATAAGGACTTTTTTGTCCTAAACTCTGGTTTAACTTTGGAGCTTCCAAAAATAAAATACCTTTTGTCATTTCTTTGGAAGGAAAGAGCTTTCAGACATCAAGGTGACATCAAAACTTTATTGGAGTAAAACATCCTAGAAAAATATTTCTGAATCTCTTTGGACTGCATGCCATAAATAACGGGATTCAAGGCACCAGGAACAATGTGAAACAAAATGGCTGTAACTTTCTTTTCCTCAGCATACTGAGGGAAGCGCTGCAGAATGATGACAATCATTCCACTGAGAAACATGATCAGGTAAACCAGCAGGTGCGTGCTGCAGGTTTTCAGTGCTCTCCTGTTCAGAGTTGCGCTCTTGCTGGTCAGACAGACGACGGTGATCTTGGTGTAAGTTACCACCATGCTGCCGATGGAAGCGGTGAACAGCACCACGGTGAAGGTCAGGCCGTACACGTTATTGATGAAAACATCCTCACACGAAAGCAGAAACAATGAGGCGTTGTTACAGTACACGCTTCTCATGAAAGTCCTGCAGCGGCTCAGCCGAACTGTCAGACCCAGAAGGATCCCAACCAGAATCAGCGCTGCTCCCCAGGCACCAACCGTCAGCTTCATCACCATCCTGTTGGTCATTATGGCAGAGTAACGCAGAGGGTTGCCGATGGCCACATACCTGTCGAAGGCCATGGCCATTAGCACCGTGTGGCAGGTGGTGTTGAACATGTGGATGATGAAGGCCTGGAGGACGCATTCGTAGTAACCGATGAGGCGGTCCGTGGGCGGCTGCAGGACGTCCAGCAGTACACGGGGCAACACAACAGAGTTCCCTAAAATGTCGTTGGCCGACAAGCTGCAGAGCAAGAGATACATGGGCAAGTGCAGGCTCTTCTCCAGAAAGACCAGGACAGAAACTCCAATGTTGGCAGCAATGATAAACACATAGGAGACAAGAATCGAGAAAAACGCAGCATATCTGGATCCACCAGAGACATTTAAACTCTCCAGCTGCAGCGTGAAGCTGTTGTAGGCGTAGCCTTCCTCCGACCTGAAAGAAAAGTTCATGGAGGATTCAAACTGTTCAACACAAAAATCACACAGTGAATGCTCCAATCTGACAACATGAACTTTTACACAAGTGTTGGAAAACAATTACTTGTTGTTCTTGATGATCCTCCAGTCTTTATGACCGTGTGTGTCTGTGTTGAAGCTGAAGGTTTCCATCATAACACTTCTTTAAACTGATTTTACCGTCAGTGCTTCAAATCACACAAATATAACACGTCAATAAAAACTGCATGAATAACAACACTTTTAATAATCAACTCATGAAGAAAACAATGAATTTGTCCGTGTTTGTTCTGACATGTCCTCCTTTTCTTCCTGTCAGGAATCAGACATTTAAGCTTTTAAGAGGCTGCTGAGCTCAGAGGGAGCTGCTCTTTACGTCACCACAGAGTATTATGGGATGCATCGTGACGAATGAACCCTGACAACAAATCGCACCATGTTAACCTTGTTCACTGGAAAGCTCTTGAAAAGTCTGTGGGATTTTTTATTACCAGTAATGACAGATCTGTACAAGCTGCTGATAAACGCTGCAACTTGTACAACTTCATAAAACCTTTGTGTCTACAGGCAGCACTTTGTTGTTTAAATCAGCATAGATTCTTTCTAGCTTTATTTCTAATTCAGTAAGGCAACATTAACCATCATATCTTTAAACGGTTTTGTTTGTCTCACAGGTGACATTCTGTGAAATAAAACTAAATATTGGAGTAAAAATGTATAAACTCTTTCAGAGGTTAATATGATCCTAAGGAAACACATAATGCCAAAGCTGAAACCATAACTTTTTTAGTAGTTCCTTCTCCACTCACTTTTTTATTCTTCTTCTCTATCATGTCCCTCTTACGACAGCTGACAGCAACAATAATACTTTTTAATAAAGTTTGTCAAAGAATTTATAGTGTTATAAGAAAACAATCACCTTAAGAAAAGTATTAAATGCATGAACTGATTTACTGACTTTATTTCCTTGAACTGGAAAAAAATAAAAACCCAGAAGAGTCTGTATATTCAGATAGTATCTTCTCCACTTTGTAAACATGTTCAGTAAATAGATGTGCCTTTTTCTCAGCCTGTTTGGATTGATTCTAATTTATCAAGCAGATAATTATTTATGGGCGTTTGGTGTAACTTTCTGATCACATTCAGAAACACAGACACACGTCAGCGATGGGATGATGGAGCCATGCATGCAGCGCTTCCTAACCTGCTGAAGTCTCTCTGCTTGATCCCGACCATCACTGACCTTTGACCCGTCCAGTGTGGAATATATTTGTTAATTTGGTGCATTTGGATGCATCCTGCATTAACTTGTTTTGGTATCATAGGTTTTTCAAATTCAGGCCTTCTTTCCTCCTTTGATGAATTGATTAATTTTTTCCTCTCCTCAAATTGGGAAGGCCCGCTCACATATCCCCTAATGTGCAGAATATTAGACCAACCCAGACTGATGTTTCACTATCTACAAAACACCAAATTGACCATGAAGGCAGCACTAATGCCATTCATTATTGGGGTGAAATAAGAACAGATTCCAAACCAGTGACCGGCCCTTTGGGAAACCTCCCGCTTTGAGTCCTGGTGAACAGTAACAGTCAGGTCTTTACTTTAGGTCTTCTTCAACATGTCTGAGCTTTAAACATGTCAGATAAACACACAAATAAACGAGTGTAGGTTGAATGTAGAAGCCAAACAATGCAAATAATGAACTGAGGTCTGTCATGAAGAGACAGCTGGTCAGACTGTAATCATGCTGTTGGTGGTTTGGAGACTGGGAAAGGTTCCAATATCAACGTCACTGTGAGATATTGTATTTTCAATTTATTTTAATATTTTGCCATTTTTAACAAACTGGTTCAGATCACAACTGGAAACAACTAAACAGTAAATAGCATCTTGGAAGTTTCTCTGATTTTATTGATGATAAATTAAAAACACTCAGTTTTACAGCCTTACATTATTGTGAGCTACCGGTCATATTTATTTATAAATTGTGCTTTTGAAATAAATATTCACTGTAAGACAGAAAGTCTGTTCTTGTGAGTTGCTCTGGTAGAAAAGTGCTTGATGATGCTGGAGCGCAGGTCCTTACTGACCAGCCCATAGATGATGGGGTTGATGGCCGGAGGGACGATGATGAACAGGATGCTAAGAAACTTCTTCATGTTTTTAGTGGTGGATGGAAATCTGTAGCTAACGATGATAATCAGCGAAGCTAATTCATAAAACACATAAACCACAAGGTGTGATGCACATGTCTGAAAGGCCTTGGTACGGACGCTGCTGTCGGTTCTGCCCTGCTTAAAAGCAGCTGTCAGGATCCTGATGTAGGAAAACGCGATGATGATGAACATCCCTGTGCTCACTGACCAGGTCATGGATAAACCTATAAAACACAGAACAGCAAAGCATTACAGACAGTAAATAAATGTTAGTGACAGAGCGAAGACTGTTCTGCTTTATGAAGCGGTGCTAAGTCTTGATGTTTTCCAGAACTGAAGTTTTAAAATACTTTCTTTACACTGACCATAGATGTCACTCGTGGGAGTGGGTGTGCAGGCCAGATTCATTATGATCCGGTTGCTGCAGTAAACATGTTGAAGGATGTGGCCACATAGCGGGACGTTCATGTGGAAGGAGAAGAGCACAGCGATGAGCAGCAGAGCAATGATCCAGGCCACAGCGCAGCAGCTGTGCAGCCGAGCCGAAGTCATGATGGAGTGATACCTGAGAGGTTCACACACTGCCACATACCTGCAGAGAGACATTTATTCTAAAGGACCGGGCGAAATATAAGGGGATGTAGCTTGATCTGTGGGATATGCACACCAACCATCAATGAATTGAGAAACCAAATAGTTACATGTAATTATATTTCTTTGAAAATGTAAAAAACACATCAGTTACATGACATCCTGGAATTGAATACAGAAATCAGTCATTTAGGAGCAGCTAATTCTTCAGACTAAGGATGCTGCCCTGGTTACCTCCTTGCAAAAACATGAAGGAACAATCAGGTGACATTAAAGACAGGAACGTTTCTCTCTCAGAAGGAGAACAGAAAGAGCATAGTGAATGACAGATCAGTGAAATGTTCAGGAATTAGCAAATAATGTAGAATGCATTACAAAACACTGAAGGAACAACATATACATTAAGATATGGACTGGTTCTCCCACTCACCTGTCATAGGCCATCACTCCCAGAATGGTTTGCATTGCTACGCCGTATGTATGAACACAGAAACCCTGAGCAATAGCTGGGAGGTAGCTGATCTTCTTCTGCCCCATCAAGAAGTGCATCATGAGGCTGGGAAGCACCGCCGTGGCCCCCAGCAGGTCACAGACCACCAGGTGGCAGATCATCACAAACATGGGTCTGTGCAGGCTCCGGTCCATCATGATGACACAGATCACCACACCGTTCCCCAGCAGCACCACCATGTAGGCAAACAGAGCCAAGAAGAACAAGAGTGGACCATGTCCTGGTGGAACGTCGAAGCCCTCCAGTTCAAACACAATCGGCTGCCTGAGAGGAGTGAATGTCAGGTTCTCCATACAAATGAGTACGAGCCTGTCAAAAAATAAGAGAGATGACACCATCTGGATCAGCTTATTCCTGCAGTATCAAAGAAAACAATAACATTAAAGTGATAAAACAATCTGCAATAAACTAAAAGATTATAAAGATATATACAAGTGACTGTACAGTTATTTTCATAAGAAGCTGATTAAACATCAGCAAAACCAACAAACTTTAATATCCAGTGAAACACATCAACAGAAAGCCAAAGGGAACATTGGAGAGTCACCTTTTGGTTGGCAGAGCTCTGATTATTGAGGAGTGTGTTGACCATTTAATGATTCCTCTTTTTAATACCACCTGCTGTCAGTTGCACCATGGAAACACTACAGCCGCTCCCTACCTGCAGCCTGAACACGCATCACTGAGTCACACACCAACAATAAACTTCATGATTACACAATCACTGACAATGTTCCAAGTTATGAACCGTTCTGACCATGACATGAATTTAAATCTTGCTTTGCTAAGATCTTTGGTTGAAATTCAAAAGCCTTCATTTTTAACTCACTCGACATATTTTTATTTACTTGTCGAGTGGTGGTTTCACTTTAATCCAATCAACTGATTGATATTAATGGTCGGTTTAATAGTTTTTAGGTTTGTGGTTACACATCTGTGGCTTTAGATTTGTCCTGTAACCACACAAGGTGGTGCTTCACCCAACTCTGCTGTTGAGTCCTTGATTGAGACACTTTGTCCACCTTGTGTGCAGAGGACCCAACTGGAGTCACCTTCAGAGGGTGCATCTCTGAAAGTAACTTCGGACTTGATAAGGACCATTTACCATCATCTTTTGTGGTTTTATTTCTTCTGTCTGTTCTGTACCTTACATCAGTTGACCCCATAACCTGCACCGATGTCCATTATGACACTTTTATTGGGCAGTCCAGAGACCCCAACCCCCCTTTTGATTGACGCCACATTCGACCAATAATGTTATGAAATGGCTTTTTTTCGTGCCAATAATATCCAGAGAGCGACTTGAGCTTGTTTTGACATGGCTGTCTTCTTTGTGAAAAAATTCTGACTGGTCAACTTAGAAACTAAATCCAAAGCCAACAGTAAAGTTAAGGGTTCTTAAGAGTGTCCTTTTAAGTATCTTAACAGGACACTGGTCCTGTTAATTGGTATACAGTGTCCTGTTTTAACAAGACACCGCATAAGTGGTTTAGGAATTACTTTATTTTTCTAGATGAACAACTGTGAACATTTTCCTTTCAGAGAAGGTTCCCTTGTGAAAACAAGTTGTTTTATAACACAGGGTTACATGCAGACTAAGTCAGTAGAGGGTGTCACAGCTTTGAAAAGGAAACCTTAGACAACATAATCATTGTCTAGAATGATGATTTTATCTTCAGATTGCAATAAAACATCGATTTTTAAAATATCAGTGAATATATGGTTTCAGTCTCAGCACCACACCATGTTCTTCCTTCAAAGCAAGGTTAGCATCTGCAACTCAAAGTGGCTATTAAAGGATTACACTTTTTAAACCTGTAAGAACTCCATGTTTACAAAAACAATCAACAATGTAATTAATCCAGGTTTCTCTATTTATCGGCACGGTCCAACCAAGTCATCTGTTAAAAATGTTTTATTTCGGCCTTTGAACAATAACCCAAACATTAAAGTGCTGGACTTCGCTCATACTGAAACATCAAAGCACAGAAAAAACTCAGTGATTTAAAATATTGAATAGTTTTACAAAAGTGAGGACAATCAATAAATTAAATTACATTTTTTCGGAAGGACCCCAATAAGGACTGGCACCAATTGATTCTGTGACCCTTACTCTGAATTGGTATTTATAACTTTATTTTTTTACATGTAGGGCGTCTGAATCTGCTCAACATCAAGGCAGTCGACAGAAAATGTTTTACTTTCATGTCTCACTTTGTACTTTAGCTAAATGAAATACAGGGGATACTGGGGAAGATCCTGCTGTTCATGAAACCAGTTACAGATAATTGACCTTTCATTTTGACTTTCATGTCGATATTCTAAAACTATAAGGACAGAAACTCGTTATGGCTTTGTTTTCACTTTCTGAAGACAGCAGATCCCAAACAGATCTGCTTGAACAACATTGCATTATTACAAGCTCCTGTTCTTCCAACATTTCATAAATATAACAACATGACAAAATCAGTTCTTGGGAACGGTTCTGGTAGAAAAGTGCTTGATGATGCTGGAGCGCAGGTCCTTACTGACCAGCCCATAGATGATGGGGTTGATGGCTGGAGGGACGATGATGAACAGGATGCCAAGAAACTTATTGATGTTTTGGGAGGTGGATGGAAATCTGTAGTTAACGATTATAATCAACGTGGCTAATTCATAGAAGACATACACAACAAAGTGTGACGCACATGTCTGGAAGGCCTTGGTGCGGATGCTGGTGTCGTTCCTGCCCTGCTTGAAAGCCGCTTTCAGGATCCTGATGTAGGAATAAGCGATGACGACAAACATCCCTGTGCTCACGAACCAAGCAATGAATAAACCTGTGAGACACAGAGAGTTACAGGACCAGTCAGATTCATGCAACTATCAGAAGTGGTTCCTGTTTAAGTAAAATGAGCTTTTTGTTGTTCCTTTATCACGCTGATGGTTGTCTGTTTTCAGTTGCTCATTTGCACTGACCGTAGATGTTGCTGATAAGGGGGGGAGTGCAGGCCAGATTCATTATGGACTTATTGCTGCAGTAGACGTGCTGAATGATTCGACGGCAGTAAGGGAGATTAACGTGGAAGGAGAAGAGCACAGCGATGAGCACCAGCGCAACGATCCAGGCCACAGCGCAGCAGCTGTGCAGCCGAGCCGAAGTCATGATGGAGTGATACCTGAGAGGTTCACACACTGCCACATACCTGCAGAGAGAAGGCAAAAAAACATTTCTATCTGTACTATGCACATTACTGACGGATAGTAGTTTAACTCATGGACATTAAAAGAAAATGTCAATATGTTAGCACATAGGAAAAGTTAATACAGACATAGATACCAGCAAAGATTTTATGATTTATCACCTGTCAACAGCCATTACCCCCAGGATGGTATGCATTGCAGCTCCATATGTGTGAACACAGAAACCCTGAATAATGGCAGAGAGGTAGCTGATCTTCTTCTGCCCCATCAAGAAGTGCATCATGAGGCTGGGAAGCACCGCCGTGGCCCCCAGCAGGTCACAGACCACCAGGTGGCAGATCATCACAAACATGGGTCTGTGCAGGCTCCGGTCCATCATGATGACACAGATCACCACACCGTTCCCCAGCAGCACCACCATGTAGGCAAACAGAGCCAAGAAGAACAAGAGTGGACCATGTCCTGGTGGAACGTCGAAGCCCTCCAGTTCAAACACAATCGGCTGCCTGAGAGGAGTGAATGTCAGGTTCTCCATCCAAAGCTGGACAGCTCTGTGAGACAAGCAGATTAAACCCTCCAGTATATTAAACATAAAAACTGCTATAAAAAGACAGAAGCAAGTTCATCTTTGCAAAGCATCAGTAAATAGGTTACAGTTGTCCTTGGTATAGATTGTGAAATAATACCTGAAAATTAAACACCACTTAATGGAAAGTCTTAGAGATGCTAAAACCTTCATGAAAAACGTCAACAGCAAACAAAAGGTTATGTTAAACGATGATGAGAGGATGGCCCTTCTTATCTTGATGGAGCATCAGTGTTGCTCCGTCCTTCAGGAGGTGTTCCATTTAAATCATTTGATGTCTACTGGATTTCCATAGCACCATCGCTCCCTGCCTGTCAGCCAATAACAATACTCTTTAATGTTATTCTATTTTTAGAGGACAAAGTTCAAATTTACACACCATTTTCACCCAACACTGACAACCCATGACCCAGGGAAACAGAAAGCTATTTCAACATGGTTTTCTGCACTTCTGTTCAGTTATCCACCCACTGTCCCATTAACACAATAAATACCTTAACCACGGACAAAATTAAACAAATTAAAGACTGACCTAAAAAGATCCACCATGAACATAAAGATGAATACGACTCTGATCAGAAAAAAATAATAATTGAAAAAGTGTTTTATTGTACATCAGGTCTCTTTCTGAGGTTTCTGTGTTCTGTTAAGTCTCTGTGTTGACCCGACCATGCCTTGACTGAGTACAGCTGTTCCTTGTTTCCCCTGAAAACACACAATTGTCTCCCTGTGTTAGTAAACCCACCTGTGTCCCTTGTTCTTTGTCTGGTCTAGTCTGCTGTCAGTTAGTTTCATTACCAGTTGCTACCAGAGATTAGTAATCTCTGTGCTGCCTTGAGTTTTGCATCATTAAGTCTCCATTTTCTCTCCATAACCTGGATCTACTGAGTTTCTCACCATCTCATACTGCAAATTATGACAATAACATTATCTGAGATGATTAGATTGTTTTGTTTTGTCTCACAGAAATCTGGCTGTAACAAGAGGATTATGTCAAATCAGCAAACAATTTTTAATTCTTTCTGTAAACCATTGCTGAAGACATTTCTCCCAAACCATTCATAGTTTATTTCTGGTACCAGACCCAGAAACACAGACCTCAGAATGACATGGGAGGCGGAGAATCTGTTTCCATGGTTTGATTGACAGTGGGAATAAATCATATACACAGTTACATAATTTAACGGAGATGTCTGTTTGCTCAAAAGTGAGAACAGCACAAATATGATGAGCACCTTCATCTTACACTGAAACTTCAGTTCTCTGCTGTTGAGGTGATCGCCGGGTTTTACTAATTCTTTACATTTCATTTTATTACCTTTTGTTTGCATTCTGTAACATAAAGAGCTGGATTTTTAAGTTTCATAGCTTGTAACATGTTTGTTGTTAAATCTGTTACAGTTTAATCTGCTTGTCTCACAGAGCTGTCCAGCTTTGGATGGAGAACCTGACATTCACTCCTCTCAGGCAGCCGATTGTGTTTGAACTGGAGGGCTTCGACGTTCCACCAGGACATGGTCCACTCTTGTTCTTCTTGGCTCTGTTTGCCTACATGGTGGTGCTGCTGGGGAACGGTGTGGTGATCTGTGTCATCATGATGGACCGGAGCCTGCACAGACCCATGTTTGTGATGATCTGCCACCTGGTGGTCTGTGACCTGCTGGGGGCCACGGCGGTGCTTCCCAGGCTCATGATGCACTTCTTGATGGGGCAGAAGAAGATCAGCTACCTCCCAGCTATTGCTCAGGGTTTCTGTGTTCACACATACGGCGTAGCAATGCAAACCATTCTGGGAGTGATGGCCTATGATAGGTGAAAAAACGTGTCAAGTGTGAGAACATTATGGACTTGAGTGTCCATAAGTGTTTTTAGTTTTTAATGTTCAAAATTTGCAGTATAGGAGCCTTTGGTGGATTCCCTAATTTACATTTAACTTCAATAAATATTCTTGATCATTAAATAGTTGGATCATATATTATCTTTCACCTCAAAGAGGAAAATCCTTTTGTTTTAATGTTTATTTAAACAAATTCTCCAGAATTAAATTGAAAATGGATAAATGTAAAATACAAATAGCATCTTAATGGGTTCCCTAAGAAATCAGCTTAAATAACCATTTAGTTAAAAACCCGATCCATGACAGCTCTGTCTCTCTGCAGGTATGTGGCAGTGTGTGAACCTCTCAGGTATCACTCCATCATGACTTCGGCTCGGCTGCACAGCTGCTGCGCTGTGGCCTGGATCGTTGCTCTGCTGCTCATCGCTGTGCTCTTCTCCTTCCACATGAACGTCCCGCTATGTGGCCATATAGTCCAACATGTCTACTGCAGCAACCGGGGCATCCTGAACCTGGCCTGCATTCCCACACCTGCCAGCAACATCTACGGTCTGGACATTTACTGAGAGGAAAGCTCTGCGTTTGATCAGAAACTGTATGTGAAAATGTTTGCCCATGTTTTTCAGGTCTGGCCATGACCTGGTCTGTGAGCACCGGGGTGTTTGTCATCATTGCTTTTTCCTACATCAGAATCCTGAGCGCCTCATTTAAACAGCGGAGGACCGACAGCAGTGTTCAAAAGAAGGCCTTGCAGACGTGTGTGCCTCATCTCGTTGTGTATGTTCTCTATCAGATAGCCTCAGTTATCATCATTGTCAGTCTCAGGTTTCCCTCTGTCTCCCAAAACATCAGGAAGTTCTTTAGTATCCTCTTCATCATAGTTCCACCAGCTCTCAACCCCATCATCTATGGACTGGTCAGCAAAGACTTAAGATCCGGCGTTACGAAGCTGTTCTCCATGCGAGTCATGAGAGTGTGTCACAAGGAGTGACACACAGATGTTTCCCAACAGAAACACCAAAAGGATCAAACCCTGCAGAACACGCTGAACGTTGTCTTCTCTTTGGGCACACAGAGCGAATACTCTATAAAGAGTTAGTGTTGAAGCTTATAGCCTTTTTACCTCAATTCCCAAATACTCAAGAGTCATATTTTCCTTTTTACAGTTAATGAAGCAAAAATTGCAACAACCCCTGCCTGTCTTTTATATGTTTTATTCTTACTTTAAAAAGTGAAATGAGGACTTGCTGCCGCAATCAGTACCAGTGATTCTTTATTGTCATCCAACAATGTTTTCTGTTAGAAACATGCTTAATACAAAGTCAAACACAACATTGATAACATTGTCAGTCACAAAGTCATGAAGCAGAAGCTGATAACAAGGACAGTGACTTTCGAATGGATAATTGCTCAACTCGAGGTTGCTTCAGATAAATCTGAGGTTTGACTTTCAACTGCTGCATTTAGTTTTTTCTGCTTTCTCTCAGGGATCTGGATGTATTCTATCCTGTGTCATGCTGTTGCAGACCTGATGCTTGCTGGAAGAATATAGATGCTAAGCTAATGTCTCTCCCCAAAATCAATCAATGAATCAATCAACAAATTGATACTTTTCCAGACACAAAAAAAGGTCCATAGTAAAAACTTAAAACTTAAATAAGACAAACTCATAGAAAAGAACAAATAAAATAAATAATGATACCAGTTGATAAAATAATTGTGTTGATGACTATCCACCAGGAGCAGACACAGGCTGCCTCATCATTTGAACCAGAAAATCATTAACATCCTGTTAACACAGTAAAATATGCTCTCACTGTGTGATCGTTGGCTTTTCTCTGCGTGTAGAAGGAAGGCAATCGGCAGGACGGCTGTGGGACCATGAAATCCACTTCTGAATGTTTGAATGAGCCAGCAAAGAAGAGACACTCCTCTGTTTTCCTTTAACTTGCAATAAACAGACACGGAAAGTTGAATAAAATGTGCTTTATTATTTCAGTGTCAGGTTTCAATACTAAGCAGTTTTTGTGTTCTTTGTATGTGAATAGTTGATGGGTTTATATGTCATGCTGGGTATAAAGGCTTTCACATTTTCTGTCACCTGCAATAGTAAACTTAACAATGTGATGTTATCACCTCTTACTACTTTGGGGCAATTCAATCCATCAGGAAGGGCAGAGGCATCAGATCACTCGTCTCCTGGTACTAAACCTTTGTTTAGTTAAACGCTGTCTTGTGTGTATTTGGTCTTGTATTTTGGATTTACTGTTTTCTACTGCTGTGTTGGCCCAGTCACTCTTGGAAAAGAGGGGTTTAACCTCAGTTAAGTTACTGTCATGGTTAAATAAAAACATGCATACACAACTCTATCAGTAACAGATAGCAAAGGATGTGTGACCTCTTAGAACATAAATAATATAAACATTTTACAGGATCCATAAGGAGCAAACGTTCCACAAGACGAGTTATATAACCTAAGAACAGCAGCTAAAGTGTTAGTGAGAAGTTTTGTTTCTTACTCTGGTTGAGAAACGTTTGATAAAGCTGACTAAAGGTTTTTAGGGGGAATGATGAAGACAAGAACACTGAAGAACTTTTTCATGTTTTGGGAAAGAGAGGGAAACCTCTGAATTAAAATCAATCAGTGAAGAAGTTTGATAGAGAACGTAAACAACAATATGAGGAGCGCAGGTCTGAAACGCCTTGCTGCGGATGCTGCTGTTTGTTCTGCCTTGTTTTATGGAAACACTCAAGATTCTGATGTAGGAAGAACTGATGAGAATGAAGGTCCCTGTGCTTAAAGTCCAGGTCATTGCATCCAGCCCCTTGTGTCCCTTTAAAGGTTTTCTACACGTTTTCAACACATTTCCAAACATAGAGGTACGATGGAAACACCAACACAGATTCCTGTCTCACTTGGCTTTCTTGAACCTTTGCATGTGTTTGAAAAATACCCAAAAATTGTATCACTGCAACATCATAAGTTCTACATAAAGAATGATACTGATACCATCAGAACTCATCTTCATGTTTTCACTAGAAATATTTGAACATGTCTGTCAGCATGACAACTGAACACCACCATAGCCAAGAATTTTCAAAGTACATGACAATTCTTCATTAATTTTATAACATGACAGTCGGACTGAAATAATAAACCATTTTTCAACCCATGGGTCGCACTGACTCCTGAGGATGACAACCATTGACTTTACTCATTTATGCCTTAAAATAAGTAATTATCACTTGAGCATTTGAGTTTTTGAAGTTTATTATAGCATTTTGATTGCCGTTATGCAGAGAAATCAAGATGACATGTCAACGAGGGACCCATGTTGTCAGTGAAGGTCAGTAACCATTAATCAGACTGTGGGACAGTGTTCTTGTTGACACTGAAGCCACATTTTCTTCCATCAACATGACGCCTCCACAAGGAGCCTTAACTGACCACGCTACATCACCAGTGGATTTCTCTTGGGAAACACAGATTCTGCCAGGGACTAAGCCATGGTGGGTAATCAGACTGTGGGACATCCATTTGTGTGTTCCCTTACATGGCCTGTGATCCTGTTGAGGCGTGATCTTCTCATCAAACTTGGAGCTTCCATTTTGTGTAGTCCCGGCTTTCACATTTTTTTGCCAAGCATCGGTCTCAGAACTGTTGGTCAATACATTCTGCAGCCTGTTACAGTGGAGTGGTTAGACACTTATTGAGCTCTATTGCAGTCTCAGACACCAAAGCATGCAGGCCTTCTCGCTTGAGATGATGTGAAATGGCACTATATAATAAATTAAATTAACTTAATGAAGCTATCTAAACATTTACATAAGTTCCATCAGCGGAATTATATAACTGAAGAAGACCAGCTACAGTGTTAGTTCTAAGTTTTGTTTCTTACTCTGGTTAAGAAATGTTTGATGAAGCTGACCCTCAGGTCTTTACTGACCAGTCCGTAGATGATGGGGTTAATAATGGGGGGAATGATATAGACAAGGATACTGAAGAACTTTTTTATATTTTGGGAAAGAGAGGGGAACCTGTAACTCACAATCACAGTCATTATAGCGATTTCATAGAGAACGTAAACAACAATGTGTGGAGCGCAGGTCTGAAACGCCTTGCTGCGGATGCTGCTGTTTGTTCTGCCTTGTTTTATGGAAACACTCAGGATTCTGATGTAGGAATAGGCGATGATGATGAAGGTCCCTGTGCTCAAAGTCCAGGTCATCGCCAGACCTGAAAAGAAATGAAGACTAGGGGTTATATATCATAAATATATTTTAAAAAATTTTAAAGTATCACTAGTGGCCAGCTTATTGTTTGAGTCCCAAGAAAAAATACATTTACTGAAGTAAAGAGGATATTAAATGAAAACAAATTGGCATTCCACTGTTATCATAGCCATACATCAGGTTCGCTGTACCCTCAGCAAAAAAATAAAACAATTATGTTAATGTATCTGCCAATGTTGGGCATGAGCAAAATTTAGAAAAAGGATGGAAGTATTCCCCCAAGCTGTTTCTTCTGTTTCATATTTGTAAGGTTTGTATTTCACATCTTGTGTAAAAAAGGAAACACTGACCATAAATGTTGTTGGCAGGTGTGGGAATGCAGGCCAGGCTCAGGATTCCCCGGTTGCTGCAGTAGACATTTTGGACTATATGGCCGCACAGTGGGACGTTCATGTGGAAGGAGAAGAGCACAGCGATGAGCAGCAGAGCAACGATCCAGGCCACAGCGCAGCAGCTGTGCAGCCGAGCCGAAGTCATGATGGAGTGATACCTGAGAGGTTCACACACTGCCACATACCTGCAGAGAGAAGACAAATTTAGATGTTGATTCACTATTCTTGAGACTTGATCATTCACACTGAACCACAAAAGAATTAAAATAAGATTCCACAATGAAAACCTAAAAACATCTCCTGAAAAAAAATATTTCATTAAGTCAATTTATTATAGAGTAGCATTTCACATCATCTCAAGGCCTTTTCTGCAAAAATAATTTCAATCCTATAATTGATGCATCTTCATTGATCTCAGTAACACAAGAATGAATAAAGTCAAGTTAATATTTCAGATTGATTTTAAAGTTTTCTTTTTAAGGGCTTTGCATCTTTGTGTTTTTGTGATGTAAAACACTTTGAAATGCTTCATCGTTGAAAAGTGCAATACAAATACATTTTTATTGATTGATGGAAAAAAAACTCTGCAAACTGCGTCATATCATTGACTGATTTAGACTATTCTTCTCTAATATGTTTCTTTACCTGTCATAGGCCATTGCAGTTAAAACTGTCAACATTGCTGCACCATATGTGTGAGCGCAGATTGCCTGGAGTATGGCTGGGATGTAGGCGATCTTCTTCAGCCCCATCAGCAGATCCATCATGAGGCGAGGAAGCACCATTGTGGCCCCCAGCAGGTCACAGACCATGAGGTGACAGAGCATAACAAACATGGGCCTGTGCAGGTTCTTGTCAGTCATAATAACACAGATCACCACACCGTTCCCCAGTAACACCGCTATGTAGGCGAGCAAAGCCAACAGAAACAAGAACGGTCCGTTGCCTGGTTGAACATCAAAGCCCTCCAGTTCAAAAACAATCGGCTGTTTGAGAGGAATCACCGAGGTTTGGTTCTCCATCCAAAGCAGCACAACCCTAAAGAAACAGAACAGATTAAACCTCAGACGATAGAAATGTTGGTAGATTTACAGAGAGAGACATACTGGAACAGATGAAAACATAAATCTGTAGCTACATTTCATATCAAGCTGATGATGGCATATTACCTCCAAATCATGCAAATGACATTTAAATGGAGATAGCATCAAAGAATAAAATGTAACATCAAAAGCATCAGCAGCTGAGATTGTATAACATCAAGTAATTACTACTCTATGTGTTTTGGAGAGAGTCAGCCTCCTCTCTGCTGAGAGCACTAACATTGCTCTGAGGTGTGGATGAAAACTTGTGTCTCTTTAAAGGATTTCAACTCAACTTCAACACATTTCCAAACATAGAGGTACCATGGAAACACCAACTCCACTGAAAGTGCCGTTCAGGGGGATGGACATTACTCCCTGCTTCCTATGAAGAGAGAGATCTGCTTAACAACTGAATAACTTATTTTCTTTTCTGCTTGTAGATGCAAAGCACCTTAAAAGTCAGTGATCGGTTGATATAGTAGTTTAGTCTAAGAACTGGAATGCCTATTTTTCATTTTATTACTTCTTGATGAATCAGTTCATTTGCTCTTGGAAAACTAAACACAAAGCTGGCATCATATGCTACTCAACAGAAATAGAGTTTTAGATATGCAGAATATGTAATCACTTGTCTTGTTTGTTTGTTTTTTTCCAGGTCTAACTATCAGCTGGACTATAAGTACAGTGAGCTTCATTCTAATTGCTTTTTCCTACGTCAGAATCCTGAGTGTGTCCTTAAAGCAAGGCAGAACAAACTGCAGCAAACCCAATAAGGCTGTTCAGACCTGTGTTCCACACATTGTTGTTTACGTTCTCTATAACATCACTGGATTGATATTAATATTGAGTTACAGGTTTCCCTCTCTTTCCCAAAATATAAAAAAGTTCTTAAGCATCCTGGTCTATATCATTTCCCCGATCATAAACCCCATCATCTATGGACTGATCAGTAAAGACCTGAGGGTCAGCTTTATCAAACATTTCTCAACCAGAGTGAGAAACAAAACTTCGCATTAACATTGCTTCTGGTGTTTAGACTCTTGTGGGGGAAGTAATCGTCTTTGTAGGTGTTGCAACTGCCTTATGTAGCTAAAGTTTGAATAAGATCAGTAAGTACACTTGATCATTTGAAATTATGTAAATTGTGATAAGGGTTGATCAGAACTGTACAGCTGAATCTGGTCCTGGTGTCAGTCTAAGACACAAAAGCAAAAACCACCACTGTCTCTTTGTGACACATGTGTTAATCTGTAAATAATCACTTCCCTCTGGCCTCCCCATAGAATATTGCTTTACTTTTTTAAACCTCTCCATGTGCTTGAAGAATCCCAGCTTGTTCATCATTGAAACATCACAGGGTGCACATAGAGGTCAATATTCAGAATGATACCGATATAGACTGCATTCATCTTCCAAATTTTCATCATAAGGATTTGAACTACTCATTCAGCAAAACCACAAACCATCACGATACTCACCGATTTACAAAACATATAATTCTTCATTAAATTCAACATAAAAATCAGAAATAATGAACTTTTTTTTAACACTTTTGCTGTCTTACAAGATGAGGTTCTTTTGATCCTTCAAAGCAAAGTTTTTTCATTGTAAAACATGTTTAACTTCTGTGTTCTTGAAATATGTTATACAAATAAACTTGACATGTGTAACCATACGTTATTGGTGGAGCGGGTGTAGTGGAGGTGGTGAGGCAGACGCTGGAGGTCCAGGTAAAGTGAGTAGTGGTAATTTAATAACAAAGAAATATGTCCAGAAAACACAGTCAACAAAACAAGTCCGCAGCCAGGCAGCATGGCTGAGCGGAGGCCAGGGCTCACACCGGTAGCAACTGGTAAACAGGCGAAACAAACAACAAGTAACGACAGCAGCGACAGCGTACAACAACAATGTGCTTGTCGACAACGACAAGGACCCGACCAGGAACAATGGACACAGGAGGGATTAAATACACTGAGGGTAATCAAGGGAACAAGACACACCTGGGAATAATCAAGGGGCAGACAGGACAAGGAGGAGACTCAGGACACTGAACATTCAAAATAAACACATGGGAAAACACGAAACATGACACATGCTTCCCATTTTCAATACAACCTGAGAAAAAGCCTGGCTGCATGTCAAACATTTGACTGAGAAATGAATGAGAAGTTATAGCCAAATGTCCCACTTTCTTTAGGTCGTATTTTCATAAATGAAAGTTTGTCTATAACAAAACTGCCTCCATGGAGCTCTTTGAATTTCCCAACATGAATATTTAAGTTTCACACAAAAACAAATAAGACACTTGAGGTTGAGGCAAATAAAGATGAATTTATTTTCTTCAAAAATTAGACATCCATCTATTTATTATCTTTACATGCTTGTCTTTAGTGGGGTTCTGAAATGTTCTGGTGCCTATCTCCACAAGTCAACTGGTGGGTTCAACCTGGACAGGTCACAAGTCCATCGCAAGGAAATACAGAGACAGACAGGACAAACAATTATACTCCTACACCCAATTTAGAGACATCAATCAACCTGATAGTCAAGGAGCCAGAGCACCCAGAGAGACAAAAGTTAAACAAAGCCAAAGTAATTTCAATACCACTTTTTATGTAACATCTACAAGTTTAAACTTCAGTTCAAACTCAAAATTATATCACATAAGGAGCAAAGTAAACAACACCAAGAATTGTTTGATTACAACACAAAGTTAAAGCAGCAGCTGAGTTCTAGTCTAAATGCAACAGCTGAAGGTCAGTGTTCTAGTCAAGGTTGTTGTGTTCTTGGTTACTGAAAAATACAGCAGATAATTAAATGTGCAAGATATTTAAATCTGTGTCAAGCTTAAATTGTTTATAATTTCATGTGTTCTTTGTATTTTTTGGTTGATATACTTGTCATATATTTCAGTAGTATGTGGTTCACTGCATCGTTAAACCCAAATGCTGCAAGTAGTCATATCATATCATTCTGAGGCTTGATGCTGATTTCAAGAGATAAGATGAGATATCTAAACATTTTACAGCATATATGAGAAACATAATTTCCACAAGAGGAGTTATATAATCTAAGAACACCAAGCTACAGTGTTAGTTCTAAGTTTTGTTTCTTACTCTGGTTGAGAAACGTTTGATAAAGCTGACCCTGAGGTCTTTACTGATCATTCCATAGATCATGGGGTTAATGATGGGGGGAATGATAAAGATGAGGATGCTGAGGAACTTTTTTATATTTTGGGAAAGAGAGGGGAACCTCTGAATTAAAATCACAATCAATGAAGCAATCTGAAAGAGAACATACACAACAATGTGTGGAGCGCAGGTCTGAAACGCCTTGCTGCGGATGCTGCTGTTTGATCTGCCTTGTTTTATGGAAACACTCAGGATTCTGATGTAGGAAGAACTGATGAGAATGAAGGTCACCGTACTTAAAGTCCAGGTCATCGCCAGACCTGAAAGAACAAAACACATGGGCTTGGGTTTAATAATGACAAAAATAGAATATGATGTTTCTCTCCTTTTGTGAAAAAGGGAAGCACAGACCGTAGACGTTGCTGGCAGGTGTGGGAATGCAGGCCAGGTTCAGGATGCCCCGGTTACTGCAATAGAGATGTTGGACTATATGGCCGCACAGTGGGACGTTCATGTGGAAGGAGAAGAGCACAGCGATGAGCAGCAGAGCAACGATCCAGGCCACAGCGCAGCAGCTGTGCAGCCGAGCCGAAGTCATGATAGAGTGATACCTGAGAGGTTCACACACTGCCACATACCTGCAGAGAGACAGAACTGTTAGGGAACAAAATCTCTAATGCTGCATTCAGAATCTAATTCAAACCGTTTCATTTCCTCATGAATAACCAGTGTTTATTTTTTCTTTCCAATGTGTATTATTTCATAGTATGGAAAACCGAAATGTTTGGATAGATACTTTACTATTTTACATATTTCTTTACCTGTCATAGGCCATTGCAGTTAAAACTGTCAACATTGCTGCACCATATGTGTGAGCGCAGAATGCCTGGAAGATGGCTGGGATGTAGGCGATCTTCTTCAGCCCCATCAGCAGATCCATCATGAGGCGAGGGAGCAACATTGTGGCCCCCAGCAGGTCACAGACCATGAGGTGACAGAGCATAACAAACATGGGCCTGTGCAGGTTCTTGTCAGTCATAATAACACAGATCACCACACCGTTCCCCAGTAACACCGCTATGTAGGCGAGCAAAGCCAACAGAAACAAGAACGGTCCGTTGCCTGGTTGAACATCAAAGCCCTCCAGTTCAAAAACAATCGGCTGTTTGAGAGGAATCACCGAGGTTTGGTTCTCCATCCAAAGCAGCACAACCCTAAAGAAACAGAACAGATTTAACCTCAGACAATAGAAATGTTGGTAGATTTATAGAGAGAGACATACTGGAACGAATGAAAACATAAATCAGTAGCTACATTTCATATCAAGCTGATGATGGCATATTACCTCCAAATCATGCAAATAACATTTAAATGGAGATAGCATCAAAGAATAAAATGTAACATCAAAAGCATCAGCAGCTGAGATTGTATAACACCAAGTAATTACTACTCTATGTCTTTTGGAGAGAGTCAGCCTCCTCTCTGCTGAGAGCACTAACATTGCTCTGAGGTGTGGATGAAAACTTGTGTCTCTTTAAAGGATTTCAACTCAACTTCAACACATTTCCAAACATAGAGGTACCATGGAAACACCAACTCCACTGAAAGTGCCGTTCAGGGGGATGGGCATTGAGTTCATACCCTTGACCAAGGATAGATGAGGATGAGAAAGGGTAAATAATATCTCGCTTTTTAAATTTTCATCAAAATTCTTGCTTCAGCAACTTGGATCAGCTATGGGCTTTTATTTGTATTTTTTGGATGTTCTGACAGTATATATTTACAGTCGCCCAGCCTTGTTAACAAATGCATGGACTTATTTCAGTCAAGCAGAAGATTTCTCATTTTGCCAATATTCCAGAGTTTAAAAAAGGAAAACTGTTAAATATAGTATTCAAATGTCATATTCTGGTCAAAAATATACCAAAACTTTTACTTCACAATCAGAAGCCAATTTAATGCCAATTTAGTCATAAAGGTTTGTATGTCTTCAGAACATGCCTGTAATCTGCATAGCACTGGATAACTCATTACAAGATCCAGAGGAACTGCCCCCAATGTCCATGCAATATTGCAGGGTCGCATCAACCAACACAACCCTACAACCTCCAGAGCTTTAAGAAACTCCCGGCGAATCTCATCCACCCCCAGGACCCTTCCACCAAGGAGCTTTTTAACCACCTCGGCGACCTTGTCCCCAGAGATTGGAGCTCCCGACCCAGAGTCCCCAGGCTCATCTTCCTCAATGGAAGGGATGTTGGTGGGATTGAGGAGTTCTTCAAAGTATTCTGCCCACCGGCCCACAATATCCCAAATTGAGCACACCATCCCCACTATAAACAGTGTTGGTGCTGCACTGCTTCCCCCTCCCGAGACGCCAGATGGTAAACCAGAATTGACTTGAAGCCGCGCGGAAGTCTTTCTCCCTGGCCTCTCCAAACTCCTCTGACGCCTGAGATTTACCCTCAGCAACCACCTGAGCCACATGCCGCTTCACCTGCCGGTACCCATCAGCTGCTTCTGGAGTCCTACAGGCCTAAAAGGCCTGATCGGACTCCTTCTTCAGCTTAACAGTATCCCTCACCAAAGGTGTCCACCAACGGGTTTGAGGGTTGCTGCCATGACAGGCACCGATAACCTAGAGGCCACAGCTCCAATAAGGCGCCTCGACAAAGGAGGCACAGAACATGGTCCACTCGGACTCAATGTCTAATCCAATATTGGACGCCCTTATCCCACAGCAGAACAAGGGAGTCCCCAGGAGGGGCACTCTCCAGTACCCCCTTTAAGGACTCAAAAAAGGGTGTGTAATCTGAACTGTTGTTTGGCCCGTAAGCACAAACAACAGTCAGAACCCGTCCCCCCACCCGGAGGCGGAGGGAGGCTACCCTCTCATTCACTGGGGCAAACCCCAACGAACAGGTCCCGAGATGGGGAGCAACAAGTATGCCCACTCCTGCCGGATGCCTCTCATTGTCGGCAACTCCAGAGTGGAAGTATGTAAAGCCCCTCTCAAGGGGACTAGTTTCAGAACCAGAGCCATGCGTCAAGGTGATACTGACTATTTCTAGCCGGAACCTCCCAACCTCTCACATTAGTTCTGCTATGGGTCAAAATGCTTCATTACATCTCATTTACCCATCACTAGCTGTAACCATCAATATGGAAACAAATCTTTCCATAAGAGTCCATGCAGTACTGTGGCTTCGGTTAAACAAACAGACAAAAAGAACAAAGTCATATCAGGCTTTAATGGAACTCATCTGACTCCTAATTATTAGATTAAATTCAAAACTACAGAATGTATTAATTATTCAATCAAGTTTATTTGTATAACATATTTCAAGAACACAGAAGTTAAACATGTTTTACAATGAAAAAACTTTGCTTTGAAGGATCAAAAGAACCTCATCTTGTAAGACAGCAAAAGTGTTAAAAAAAAGTTCATTATTCCTGATTTTTATGTTGAATTTAATGAAGAATTATATGTTTTGTAAATTGGTGAGTATTGTGATGGTTTGTGGTTTTGCTGAATGAGTAGTTCAAATCCTTATGATGAAAATTTGGAAGATGAATGCAGTCTATATCGGTATCATTCTGAATATTGACCTCTATGTGCACCCTGTGATGTTTCAATGATGAACAAGCTGGGATTCTTCAAGCACATGGAGAGGTTTAAAAAAGTAAAGCAATATTCTATGGGGAGGCCAGAGGGAAGTGATTATTTACAGATTAACACATGTGTCACAAAGAGACAGTGGTGGTTTTTGCTTTTGTGTCTTAGACTGACACCAGGACCAGATTCAGCTGTACAGTTCTGATCAACCCTTATCACAATTTACATAATTTCAAATGATCAAGGAGACTTATTTATCTTATTCAAACTTTAGCTACATAAGGCAGTTGCAACACCTACAAAGACGATTACTTCCCCCACAAGAGTCTAAACACCAGAAGCAATGTTAATGTGAAGTTTTGTTTCTCACTCTGGTTGAGAAATGTTTGATAAAGCTGACCCTCAGGTCTTTACTGATCAGTCCATAGATGATGGGGTTTATGATCGGGGAAATGATATAGACCAGGATGCTTAAGAACTTTTTTATATTTTGGGAAAGAGAGGGAAACCTGTAACTCAATATTAATATCAATCCAGTGATGTTATAGAGAACGTAAACAACAATGTGTGGAACACAGGTCTGAACAGCCTTATTGGGTTTGCTGCAGTTTGTTCTGCCTTGCTTTAAGGACACACTCAGGATTCTGACGTAGGAAAAAGCAATTAGAATGAAGCTCACTGTACTTATAGTCCAGCTGATAGTTAGACCTGGAAAAAAACAAACAAACAAGACAAGTGATTACATATCCTGCATATCTAAAACTCTATATCTGTTGAGTAGCATATGATGCCAGCTTTGTGTTTAGTTTTCCAAGAGCAAATAAACCAATTCATCAAGAAGTAATAAAATAAAAAATAGGCATTCCAGTTCTTAGACTAAACTACTATATCAACCGATCACTGACTTTTAAGGTGCTTTGCATCTACAAGCAGAAAAGAAAATAAGTTATTCAGCTATTAAGCAGATCTCTCTCTTTATAGGAAGCAGGGAGCAGCTCCCAAACTGTTGCATTTTATTTGTTTTGTAAAAAAGGAAACACTGACCATAAATGTTGTTGGCAGGTGTGGGAATGCAGGCCAGGTTCAGGATTCCCCGGTTGCTGCAATAGACATTTTGGACTATATGGCCGCACAGTGGGACGTTCATGTGGAAGGAGAAGAGCACAGCGATGAGCAGCAGAGCAACGATCCAGGCCACAGCGCAGCAGCTGTGCAGCCGAGCCGAAGTCATGATGGAGTGATACCTGAGAGGTTCACACACTGCCACATACCTGCAGAGAGACAGTCTTTTTCAGAAGTAGGGTATCCAGAATAAATTGTTCTACATCTGTTTCACAGTTAAAAATGATTTCAACATCCTCAAAAAATGTGTTCCGTCTGCCAACGTTATTGTCTTAGGATTGAATTCACCAAATAAAACTTGTAGATCGGATAATTAATTCTCTGATTCATGTTCAGAGTTTCAAGAAAATAAATTACAATTCACATTTTAAATATTTGCCTTTAATTTCATGCACATTAAATTTGACTATAACAGCAAATTTAGATTTTGATTCACTATTTTTGAGACTTGATCATTCACACTGAACTACAAAAGAATTAAAATAAGATTCCATAATGAAAACCTAAAAACATCTTCTGAAAAAGATGGTTTCATTCAGTCAGTTTAATTTATTATATAGCGCCATTTCACATCATCTCAAGGCCTTTTCTGCAAAAATAATTTCAATCCTATAATTGATGCATCTTCATTGATCTCAGTAACACAAGAGTGAATAAAGTCAAGTTAATATTTCAGATTGATTTTAAAGTTTTCTTTTGAAGGGCTTTGCATCTTTGTGTTTTTGTGATGTAAAACACTTTGAAATGCTTCATTGTTGAAAAGTGCAATACAAATAAAATTTTATTGATTAATGGAAAAAAAAACCTGCAAACTGCATCATATCATTGACAGATTTAGACCATTCTTCTCTAATATGTTTCTTTACCTGTCATAGGCCATTGCAGTTAAAAGGTTAACCATTGTTGTAACATATGTGTGAGCGCAGAATGCCTGGAGAATGGCTGGGATGTAGGCGATCTTCTTCAGCCCCATCAGCAGATCCATCATGAGGCGAGGAAGCACCATTGTGGCCCCCAGCAGGTCACAGACCATGAGGTGACAGAGCATAACAAACATGGGCCTGTGCAGGTTCTTGTCAGTCATAATAACACAGATCACCACACCGTTCCCCAGTAACACCGCTATGTAGGCGAGCAAAGCCAACAGAAACAAGAACGGTCCGTTGCCTGGTTGAACATCAAAGCCCTCCAGTTCAAAAACAATCGGCTGTTTGAGAGGAATCACCGAGGTTTGGTTCTCCATCCAAAGCAGCACAACCCTAAAGAAACAGAACAGATTAAACCTCAGACGATAGAAATGTTGGTAGATTTATAGAGAGAGACATACTGGAACAGATGAAAACATAAATCTGTAGCTACATTTCATATCAAGCTGATGATGGCATATTACCTCCAAATCATGCAAATGACATTTAAATGGAGATAGCATCAAAGAATGAAATGTAACATCAAAAGCATCAGCAGCTGAGATTGTATAACACCAAGTAATTACTACTCTATGTGTTTTGGAGAGAGTCAGCCTCCTCTCTGCTGAGAGCACTAACATTGCTCTGAGGTGTGGATGAAAACTTGTGTCTCTTTAAAGGATTTCAACTCAACTTCAACACATTTCCAAACATAGAGGTACCATGGAAACACCAACACAGAGTTGCGTGTCAGGGTTGTCGGTTGACAGGCAACCCTGTCAGTTCTTTGTCAGAGCTGACAGGAAGTGAATGTTCATTACATTCACAGATGAGGATGAAAATGGAAAGAGACAGAATAACTTTGACTGTACAGTGAAGACTCATAAAATAAAGTCTAAAAGCACCAAATAGGTCAAACAGAATCATCATGAAATCCAATCAGTTGAAGTACAATGTTGAGAATGCAGTTCAGTGGCAGAGCTGTTAGAGAACAGGAGTACTTATTGGTTATTCAATAAGAACTCACTTTATTGTTTTGTTTTTCCCTCCAAATTTATCAGAGAGTTGTTGATTGTATTTATTGGCTATTGACAAAAACCTAATAATTGCAATCCTGGGTGCACCTTTGCAAGCTCTAGTTAAGATGATAATACTCCTTATAAACTAGGACAATTTCAGGTACCCTACAGGGCATTTGGTATAGTTTCAAAAGGTCCTGTAAAATTGTAAATCCATCTTTGCATAATTTTGCTGGTGGCATTTTTAGTTTGATATTTTTATTAACTATTTTAAGAAGTTCATTAGTTTTCATTATTATTTCTACATTTACTTAGCAGTTTAGTTTAGAGTTTCTAGTTCAAATGGCCTGTACTTTCAAAGTGCATTATGAGGTCCAGAGGTTCCCTAAGTGCTTGACATGGTATTCATTCATTGTGTTTAATTATTCTTAGTTTGATTAGATCAACCCGGTTTCTCTTTTACGTCAGATCAATCCATAGATATTTTCATAGCATTCATTCATTGTGTTTAGTTATTCTTTATTTTATTCTAACTATATTTGATCCATTTCTTTCTCCTTCTTGCTCCCCTCTCAGCTGTACCTTATTCCTAACCAGCCTGCTCCCTGAGTAATCAAGCTCCTCTGTTTCTAAACGCTCCAGTCAATCACTTAATGCTGGATTCTCTCTTTACACCTCATATGTCATCTCATCTGTACCCAGTCTCTGACTGTTCTTGTTCTTTGTCTTCTCCTTGATGCTTTGCTAAGCTTTTGTTTAATCAAGTTCATATATCTTTTTACCCTCAACTTACTGGTTCAATTGTTCTGCATTTGGATACAATAACATGTCAATATCATAAAAGTCTATTTACTTCAGAAATTTATAACTCAATGAAACACATAATATATATAAGCTACACACAGAAGAATTTGTGTAACCCTTTCTTTATGTAAGTAATTATTTTATATTTTCAGTTAATAAAAATTTATAATTAAAATATCACACCTTAAAATTTAAATGTTATTTTATACAGGTATGTGAGCTTGATGAAAAGTATCATGCTTGAATGTTATTTTCTAATCTGAAAAATGGGCATTATTGGAACATATACTCTAATTTATTACTTGACATTTTGTCATTCATCTTTTCATCATTGATGGTGGTAAACTACACTGCAGCCACAGCAGCCATCTGGACGCCAGATGGAGGCATCCTTAGTGAGTGTCAGGGAAAAGCTACCTTTAAGATTTCTCTCTCACTGAATTGTATTCAGCCAAGAGGAATTGTTTGAAATTGTTGTTTTTAATACAATCTTGCAGTGTGTTTTTGTCTAGTTAAAGTAGAACACCTGCATGCAGAGATATTGCTTTCGGTGCAATTTTAAAAGACACTGTGTAATCTTTGTTTTCCAGAACTATGTACTATTTTCTGTAAGAATCTGTGTAAGCAAACTCTCCTTGCTGCAAAGAATAAATTCACAAAGATCGTTTGTCTTTTCATTGTTTTCTTTGATTTTGAAACACATATTAAAAATTTTATAATAAATTGGCATCACAAACCGGATTCAGTGAGCTAACCATGAGGGAGTCGGGTGACAGGCCATCTTAAAGGCCAAATCTTCAGTTCTCCTGAAGTAGAAAAGAAGGGGAACCTGGATCTCATCTCTTGTGTTGAAATAACACACTATGTTTATCTTGTTTGATGTAATATATCTGGTATATAACCTGGACCTGGATATTAAATCAGGACCTTTTACAACCCCTAACCCTAGCCCTAATCCAGGATACATAAAAGGTGTATGGATCTTTACACCCTTTCAAGGAACATGGACCATATTATCTGATGTTCCTTATAAATGTCCAGAGAGGAATCAGCCATATTGTGTCTCCTTTATCAGAAAATACCATGCATATGTTTTAAAGTTAGCATCAGTCCCCCCCAAAAACCACAGTAATGTTTTATTGTTTGTTATCTGACTTGAAAATAGCATGCAAAACTTAGCCAAAAATAATTACTTTCAACCAAATAAACAAATATCACAATATATTTTTATTTTAAAATTTATAAGGATCTGGGTTTTAATGTGAGTTTATTAGTTAATTTAGTCCCTGTCTCTGCATGTCTTGGCCTTAGTTGTTCCCAGTCATGTCTTGTTCCCTGATTATCTCCTTGTGTATTTATACTCACCTGTGTCTGTATTTCCCCATTGGACATTGTCTAATGTTGTGTCCTTGCCATCGCTGTCTGTTTAAATTCCAGTGCTACCAGTTTGTCAGTTCCTTGCTTACTTAGCCACCTGTGCTGCCTGGATTTTGTGTTATGTTGTTTGCCATCATTAAAACCATAGTTTACTCTACAACCTGGGTCCACCACATCCATTTTCCTCACCAAACAACAACTCATGACAACGTTACTGTAGACTGGAGTTGTGTTTGTAACTTTTGTCAACAATCATTTTAAGTCAGGTACAAAGAATACACACAAATGTTTTAAATGGTAAAAAGCAATTATTTTGTGTATGATTTTCTTGTCTCTGTTGATGAAATGACAGAAAAGAGAACATTAAGTAAAGCAGCTAGAGAAAAGAGTGATTTAATATTATGTCCTTAATGTATAAGTTGTAAGAAAGCTAATAAAAGAATGACTGACTTTTGGAAAAAGTGGATTAATTGTACAAATGCATGTTTATTTTGATTATATTTATTTCAACCTTTTTGAGTAGATTTACTTTCACATGACAGAAAACATTTTCTAGAAATAAAAAATTCATATAAAAAATTTCGTATCTCCTTAGATTGTAAACCATATATAATGGGGTTGAGGCTGCCTGGAACAATGACGAACAAGATAGCTGAGAGTTTTCTGTAGTCTGAGTATTGGGGAAACCGATGCAGAACAACAATTGTAACGCCACTAAGGGACATAATAAGATAAGCGACCAGATGTGTGCTGCAAGTCTTAAATGCTTTACTGTTCAATGATTTGTTCTTAGTGGCCAGACAGACTGCTGTGATGCTCCCATAGGTGAGAACAATGCAGCCAATAGATGCTATAAAGAGCAGCACAGTGAATGTCAGACCATAGATATTATTAATGATCACACTCTCGCAGGAAAGCTTGAAAAGTGAGGCGTTATCACAGAAAGGGTTGGCGATGAGGGTCCTGCATCGGTTTAGCCTCACAGTCAGACCCAGCAGAATCCCAACCAGCACAAACGGCACACCCCAGGACAGCACTATCAGCTTTACTATCATCCTGTTGGTCATTATGCTGCTGTAGAATAGGGGACGACAGATGGCCACGTATCTGTCAAAGGCCATGGCCATAAGCACTGTGTGGGAAGTGGTGCCAAACATGTGTGTAATAAAAGCCTGAACCACACACTCATAATAACTGATGAGACGCTGAGATGGAGGCAGCAAGATGTCTGAAAGCAAACGGGGTAAAATATGAGTACTTCCCATGATGTCACTGACTGTCAGGTTGCCAAACAGCAGATACATGGGCTGATGAAGGTTCTTTTCAAAGATGATGATTGTTAAAATACCCAGATTCATAATCATAAATATGATGTAGGAAAACAGAAACAGGAAAAAGACAAGGCGCACTGAGTCGTCTGCAACCTTCAAGCCCTCCAGCTGGAGTGTGGGACTGTTGTAGGTGTAGTTTTCCATCTGGCTGCAAAACAAAGCAATGTTTAAGACAACAGACAATTGGTCGAGAAGCTACATTGAAATACAATTTCTTAAACAGATTTACTACAAAGATTAAATTCATTAACAATAATCACAGACAAAGTTAGAAGAAATTGACATGTAAAATATTAAAAGAGCAGTACATCCAGCAGGTTGATACGCACTGCATTCATGTAGAGTACCACAGTTGTTATCCAGATCATTCAATGTGGATTGTATTTCTTCATGCATTTTTAACTTTAAGAGGGAAGGGTTAAATTGCCAAGACAATGTGTGATGTAATCTTTTGCAATGTTTACTTGCAAATGTCACTAGACACATCTTATTGGTTCTGCAGGCCCAATGATCTCACACTTTATGGTTTAGTTTTTCCCACAAAGTTTATCATAGTTGTGTGCTTGCATTGATTGACTTTTGACAAAAAAAAGTCAATTCTAGCTGCACCGTTGTAAGCTCAAGTAAATAGAATAATACTTATTTATTAGACCAATTTTAGGTGACCTACTGGGCATTTGGTGTGACTCTGAGCGTTCCAAAAGGTCCTGTGAAATTATAAATCAATCATTGCATCAATTTCCTGATAGGATTTTTAGGTGGATATTTTTACAGTTTTATTTTTAGTCTTTCATTAGTTTTTAATATCATTTCAACATTTACTTAACAGTCTAGCTTAATTACTAGTTTTAATGGCCTGTTCTTGTAAAGTGCTTTATAAAGTTTAAAAAATCCAAAAGTGCCTCACACTACATTACTTTTCAATAAATTAAAGTAATATTGCCAGGATCTTGTGTTTTTGTTTGTCTGTCTTTGTAGTTTTGTTCATTTGCTTTTTGTGTTCTGCCGTAGTTATTCCTAGTGTGATTAGATCAACTTAGTTTCTGTTCTACTTCAGATCAATCCACAGGTATGTACATGGTATTCATTCATTCATTGTGTTTAATTATTTTTTATTCTATTAAAACTATGTTTTCTCCGTTTATTTCTCCTCTTTGCTCCCCTCTCTCACCTGTACCTCATTCCTAACCAGCTTGCTCCTTGTCAGTAATCAAGTTCTTCTGTTTTCAAAAGCTCCAGTAAATCACTTAATGGTGAATTCTCTCTGTACACCCCAAATGCCATCTCATCTGTACCCAGTTCTTGCTCCTTGTCTTTTTCTTGATGCTTTTGTAAAAGACCCTGTAATAAACATCTCACCTCACAGTGAAGACAGGCGAGCAGATTCACATATTCCAAACTCCCCACCGCCGTCTGCTCAGCTTCCTGGGCAAGAAGCTGAACTTGGGCAAGTAGGGTTTAACAGGCCCATGACCACACGCATGCACAAACATCCGCAGCTCCTCAACCACTTTACAAACACCCAGTTTGGACAGTCAGCTAAGCATCAAAGAGTTCCATATAAAGTTAATTATGGTAACTATTATATAAAACAAATAAATTAATAATTAAATAAATAAAACTTTCCATGTAGACGAGGAATTGAGCGTCGGTGTGTGTGTGGGTGTGTGTGTGTGTGTGTGTGTGTGTGTGTGTTTTGTGTGTGTGTGTGTGTGTGCGTGTGTGTGTGTGTGTGTGTGTGTGTGTGTGTGTGTGTGTGTGTGTGTGTGTGTTGGTAAAGTTGAATTAACTGAAAATTTAGCCTAAATACACACGGCAGTTATGGAACATGTTCAACTAATAGGACGGTATCGATGTCTGATTGAAGGGTGTTGTAACAGAAGCTATTATATTTTATGGCTTGCAGAGCCCTTGAACATTGAAGAGGGGGTGGAATATGTTAAGTCAGAGTCTACTTGGTGGATGACTCAATTACATCTGAATGTATCTGAATGTATCTATTCATGTCAAATTACATAGCTGCTAGATGTTTCGCTGATTTTCCATTGGCTAATTCAAATGTATATCTCATTCGCAGACATCCTGTTACTGGATATATCGATCCTTTGCAAATATGTGACTCAGTCATTCTCGGTGCCATGACAGACATTGGAAGAGTGAAGCTTGCAGATTGAGTCACAGATTAAAAGTGTGAAAAAAGCAGCTCAGTTTTTTTCAAGTGTAGAATAATAGATGCCTTCCATGCATTACATCAGTGGCCCCACTTAGAATATAATAATATCATATCATTAAAATTATATTTAATACAGCTATGTGGACTTAATTAAATGTAAAATGCTTAAACATTATTTTCAAATGGTACTTCTAATCTGACAAACAGGCCTTATCAGAACATGCATTCTAATTTATTAAATATGTCTGCATATTTCATCATTCACCCATTCACCACTGATGATGGTAAGCTACACTGAAGCCACAGCTGCCCTGAGGCAGTCTGAGGTATGCTCATCACATTCATTAAGCAACAAGCTTAATGAATGTGGAGAAAATTTTACATTTAACATTTACCTCTCAGTGAACTGAAACAAGTGTAACAGTCTCCTGCTTACATGCTGAACTTCATTTAGTACTATCTGTATGACCAAATGTCTCGTAACCCTGTTGTCATCGTGTTGATTCTGGAAGTGAAGAACACCTTCATGCATAGATGCAAAGAAGTGTATAAAAGAAAGTATGTAATCTTTGTTTTCTGGAGCTGCATTCTCTGTGCTGCTAGAAGCTCTTCCTTTCCTTTGCTGCAATGAATAAATTCACAAAGACAGCTTGTCTCTCCGCCATTTTCTTTGGTTTAGAAACTCATAATAAAAGTTCTACAATTTCTCCCATAGTTGAGAACAATGCAGCCAATAGATGCTACACACAGAAGTCCAGTGAAAAATAGACCATCAATATTATTAATGATCATACTCTCACAGAAGAGCTTGAAAAGTGAGGAATAATCACAGAAAGGGTTGGCGATGAAGGTCCTGCATCAGTTTAGCCTCACAGTCAGAGCCAGTGGAATCCCAACCAGAACAAACAGAACGCGCCAGGACAGCACTATCAGCTTTACTATCATCCTGTCGGCCATTATTGTACTGTAACGGAGGACGACAGATGGCCATGACCATAAGCTCTGTGTGGGAAGTGGTGCCAAACATGCAATAAAAGCTTGAACCACACACTCAAAGGCAGAATAATAAAGGAAGCCTAAAATGAAAAACTATTGAGAAATAACACAATCAGAGTGTTTAACGGTTCTGCATGTTTAACACAGAGTCAAGCTTGTTCTCTGACGCACCACGCTGTCTTCAGTATTAATGGATGGAGTCTGAAGGTCTGCTCACAGTGGAAGGGTCTTAAGTTTCAAAACCATAGGTTCCTCGAGTGCAGATGATGTTGGTCTTTTTATATATATTAAAGTATATAAATCTGGGCTTTTCTTTTGGGGAAATGGGGGTCCAGGACAGATATCGTTACAGGGTTTGAATGAAGCTTTTGAATTGTCATTGTTGCAATCAAGTCTTAAATGGCAATGATTTTTGTTTTAGAATAGATATTTTTATTAATTCTTACTTAACAGAATTTTCAATGGATTGAACTTGCTGCAAAACTACTTAGTAAAGATTTTTTATTGTATTTACATTGCCAACTTTTGCTTTTTAATTAGTTTGCCCAAAACACGCCAATGATTCAATAGGATACACTAGTTTCATCACTGTTTGTTCTTGCTGTCACTGCCAAGAACAAGTGCTGTTGTTTCTCAAGCAAATGTAATCAGTAATGAGGTCCACAGTGAACTGTTCTCTAACAAACATTTACACACAGTTTCTGGTGCTAATTAGCCCATAGGGGGGAACATGGGAACCAAGAATTAGACGTTAATAAGAGCTCAGAGAATAATACAGGAGGATAATAGTGACATTCCCGAAGGTCTAAAAGGACTATCATACTTTTACATTTCTGTTAAAGTATGATAAACTTCTTCTCACTTATTATGAACAGGATTACATAATCTTTCAGGTAATACTGAACAGAGCAGGGGTTCAAACCAAGAACTTTTTTCAAGACAAATTTCTCCTTCCTGAGTCACTGTCGATACCAGACACAGATAAATTCCCATAAATCTTATAGAAGTATTATTTTTAATGTTATTTCTTTATGGATCACATTCGAATATTCCAGCTTTGGAAATAATCTCACCTTCAAAAAACACCTATTCATAACCCACATCCATTGACTGGAGGCCTTGTGTACTTCATATGCAAATAGGCTAGTAAAGATTCATTATATCACTATAAAGTTATGGTTAATCATAACAGGCTAGCCTTGGTCATCAGTGGACATAAGGACTATCCTTTGTTCAGACTGAGAGTCAAAATTTTGCTCATATTTAACTTGAGGAAGTTGAGGAAGTTGGTTTTAATCGACCCCGCAGAATTCCTTTGATGTACTGACACAAACACATTGGCATGACTCAAGACTTGAAAATTAATTTTTCATGGCAATTAGCTATTTTTGTGGTTAAATAAGGAGTAAATAAAAATAAATGTCAACCAAAGTCAAACATTATTTATTCACAGAAGAGTGAGAAGTGAAGGTTGATGAAAAAAGCCACTTGGAGTTATTAACTCTCTTTATATGACAGTCTCTGAACACAACACTCCACATTTAATTGAATCACTTGCAGGTCATTAAGACTCAGGGGACGAGAGAGGCCTCAGTTCAGCCAAGCCCCAAACAAAGCTACATACAGTCAATGAGTCAGTAAGTCTGTTCCAATGAAGTCAGTGTTGAGGAGACAAAATAGTCATTGAAACAAGGCTAAGAACACTTTCATCTTGGATGGTACAGATCAAGACAGGTTGATGATTACAAGTAGCAGTCACCCCCCCCCCCCTTGATTGAGCATGAATAGACAATATGCAGTCACTTGCAGTGACTCATTGACTTTGACCATGAACTCTTACTGATAACCAAGTCCAGAATGTGTACTCAGTTGTGGATTCCCTGTTTAACATGATGACCAGCGCTTCTCAATTCCAGACCTGAGGCCCCCACACACTCTGCAGGTTTTAGATGTACCTCTATTCCAGAACAGCTGATTCAAATAATTGCATAAACATCAAGTGCTACAGAAGCCTGTTAATCACCCACATGTTCAATCCAGGTGTGTGGCAGAAGGGAAACACCTAAAGCATGTTGGGCAGGGGGGCGTGAGGACTGGAATTGAGAAACACTGAGTTAAACCAAGGTTTTTGAGTATGTCACACAGACTTTTGCAACTCTGTCTTTGGGCCTGTCAACATGGATGTTGAAGTTTTACACAATTATTAAAGTCATAATTAAAACAAATGACACCCAAAAGGTAATTAAAATCACTTTAAAAACTTCCCACATAATTTAGGTTTTATATAAAGTTTATATCAGTGCCTTTCACCTCTCTTCCCTAATAGCCAAGAATAAAAATTTTCCCAGAAACACCTTTTTACACCTTCGTAAAATGCGGCAACCTCTTTCCCTTCTTACATTTGGTTAGGAAACTGTAATTAGGAGGCGCTGATTCATTTAGTACAAGTGCTTCATTGGTTTTATCCAACTATTTCTGTTAGAAATAACATCAATGCTCTGCTCAGTGGAGAAGTTGTTAACGAAGAGTAATTTTCCTGATACAGATCTTTTACTTAGCAAAGCCAGACACAATGGTAGATAATTTTTCAATTTGAGTTTGCTTTAGACAGGGATTTCATAACATCAGAATTAGGTTTGATTTTAGACGATTGCATTTTTTTTCAGTTGTGGTATTTCTGTTAGGTATTAGTACAGGGATCCTATATTGTGCTGTTGGTAGTCCAGATGAATTCTGGGAGAAGACAGGGGCCTTCCATGTCAGACTCCTGTCTGAAATGGAAGACAAAAGGCCCTTTCCATATCTGACTTCTATGCATGTTTGGAGGTGTTGATAATACAGTGTAGTTAGTCAGTTGTGAATCCCAAGCATTATGTGTTGATTTATATTTTCAGTTAAGATAAGAAACTGCAGGCCAGGAGATGTTGGGTCTGATTAAAAAAAAGAGAAGAAAGAAAGGTGTAGGATGCATTAGAGGTGCAGGAGAGAACCAACCAAAAGACTGACACAAAGACTGACACAACACTCCATATCTGAGAGATCCATTATCCCACAGCCCAAACCTGACCGTTGCGTAGTAGTACATGTCGTATGGTGTCACAAATGTTAATTATGAAGGTCTGGGTGCCAGACTCCCCAACTGAGAAGGCTTCCCAATTCAAAAGTTATAAAAGCTGGAAAGGACAATCTTGTGAGATACAGTTATTTCTCCAGTCAATACAAATGTAGGTGTGTTTAGGTCAGCCAAAGCTACATTTAGAGCAGGGGTGTCAATCTCCAGTCCTGGAGTAACGGTGTCCTGCAACTTTTAGATGTGCCTCTGCTGCATCATGCCTGAATAAAATAATTAGGTCATTAAGGCTCTGGAGAATTGATCTACACAAGAAAGAGGTAATGAAGCCATTTCATTCCAGCATTTTGTACCTGTGGTACGTTCAAAAACTGCAGAACTGAAGGTTGAGACCCCTGATTTAGAGTGTAGGTTTAAATGTGTTTATAATAATTAGAATGACAGATGTTGTCAATATTCAACTCCAATTCAAGTAAAAAATCTGGGATTTGATCTAAGATTTCACAGTAAAGGTGGCACTTGGAGGGTCATGAAAAGCATGGTACCTATCCATGGGGTCCAATGGGTGATTGATAGGGCACAACCCAGATCAACAGTCCTTTGGTAAAAAAGTTAATTTTCTATTAAAGATGTTGTAGTTTGATATTTGAGGCTTCTTCCGTTTGGTAAACTTCAGCCTGGCTCATTTTGTGAAATCTTTTATTTCCTTTGAGCAACCAGCAGTAGGAAATTCTCTTTAACGTAAAATGTGGCTTATTTTACAGATGGGCCCAAACTCCTAGCTACACATTACATTAATCATAATTTTCTATTTACTGTTTAATTTTAGTAGTAGAGAATGTTTCATAGATACTAAAATTTGTTAATGTAAAAATTTAAGCAGTTTCAACAGATATAGAATTTCTTATAAAATCATGGAAGTCCTTAAAGGAGAAACAAACATTTTTTTTAATCAATTTTCTTTAAAAAAAAATGTAGAATTAGATGCACAAGTAATGGCCTAGTGTTACTGAGCTGCAAGGATGACAACATGATTTTTTTAGGATTACATCACTTAGTATGGAAGAATATCTTCACCCTGCCAAATAATTACTTATTACGACAATTATTGCAGATGGTGACTCTTGGTTAAAATCAGGTCATAACAAGACATTTTTGTCTAGATTAATGTTAAATTGTCATAACAGAGACATTTTGAATAACGTCAGCTTTGCAAACAAAATGTCATTATTTACTGAATGACAGTTTATGACAATAGTCAAAAATATTTCTGAAGACTAATTCAAGTTCATGGCAGGTGTCATGTCAGCATAATTGACATGCATAAGACTGACATAAGGTACATGGCATTAGGAAATGAAGTATTACCTGGTGAACAAATCAAAGTGTGAAGAAGAAACCTTTCCAATGATAAACCCCTTTGAGACACAGTTGTAGTCACAACATGGATTACATCAGTTACCATGCAAACAACAGCACACCCATCCAAAGATAAACTATATCTACCAACTGGATCATTGCTGCTGACAGATGGTAAAGGTTTTCTGTAGATACCACGCTCCTCTCCTTACGCTGCCTGTTACTGTTATTTATTTGTATTGATTCTATGATAAGACTTTTGTTTCTGTATTGTGACTTATAACTGGTTTCAGCTTTTGTTTTTCAGACTGATGGAAAACTTCACCTACAATAGTTTCATGCTCCAGCTGGAGGGCATAGATTTCACAAAAGATGTTGTATACTCCGCCTTTTTCTTGTTCCTAGCCTTCTACATTTTTACTATGACTCTGAACTTGGGTTTTTTGATTCTAGTCATTATTGAGAAGAACCTTCACCAGCCCATGTACATTCTGTTTTGCAACCTGACAGTCAGTGATATCATTGCAGTTACAGAAGTCTTTCCTCGCCTTCTGGTGGATATTTTGAGGCCTCCGTCTGAGCGCCTCATCAGTTACTATGAGTGTGTAGTTCAGGCGTTTCTGAATCAGTGGGTGAGCAGCACTGCCCATACGCTGCTGATGATCATGGCCTTTGACAGATACGTCGCTATCTGCAACCCTCTGCGTTACTCTGTGATTATGACCAGCAGGATGTTGGTGAAGCTGTCGGTTGCCGCCTGGGGCGTTCCCTTCTTGTTTGTTTCCGTTCTGATTGGACTCTCTGTCAGGCTCAACAGATGCAGGACTTTTGTCTCAAACCCGTTGTGTGACAATGCCTCTTTGTTTAAGCTCTCTTGTGAAAGTGTGGAAATCAATAACATCTATGGCCTCTTTTACACAGTGCTGCTGCTGGTAGCATCGGTCGGCTGCATTGTTGTAACCTACGGAAAGATTGCTGTGATATGTCTGACCAGTAAGAACAAATCAATGCAGAAAAAAGCCCTAAAAACCTGCAGCACTCACCTGGTTGTCTACCTGGTTTTGTCGTTCAGTGGATTTAGTGTTATTGCGCTCCATCGATTTCCTCAGTATTCATATTATAGAAAAATTCTCACGATTCTGTTTTATATTATACCTGGAAGTCTGAACACTATTATTTATGGTGTCCAGTCAAAATAGGTGCGACAGTTTGTGTTTAAAACATTTAAATGCGGAAAGGTTTTGCCTTTGCAAAACAGAACATGATTTCACTATGCTATTAGAGTGTACGCATTTTATTTGATTTTAATCAATATTAAGATATTTAATTTTGTGTATCAATGTTTTTATTATTAAAGTGTTTTTTTCCTGATTGTAATCAAAGTATGGGCTGATTTTAGTTATTGGCTGAGAGTTAGGACAGGTTAGGAAAAAATAGGACAGTGCACCAGATTAAGCCATTGGTGGAATCAATATTTAACCAGATGAAGTATTTAGGAAACTTTTAAGGTTTTACTTAAAAGGTCCCATGACCTTGGTGGTAGTGACCACCTTTGAAAGGTTTGTCACCAAGGAGAGAACTAAAACATGCAGGAGGCCGGCCTTCGAGGACTGACTTTAGACACCACTGCACTATGAGAATGTCCAGAAGACATAGACCAAGTTTGAATTCATGAAAAGGCGTTCACCATAATTAACATTTACCACAACCATTGCAAGAACAGCTATAATTTCTGAACATTTCTGGAGACTTTGAAGGAGCTGCTTCCTTGAAATGATGAAACAATAAGATCTCCCTGTTATCAAAGCATTACAGGAAGGTTTTTAGGAAGGAGATGGCTGACACAGTGAAAGCAAAAAAAAAAAAAGCTAGGACGGTTGAAAGAGAAATTTTTCTTGTTATAAAATAAGTCATTCTGATTTTATTTTTAATCTGTATTTTAGAGATACAATATGGTGATGAGAAATTGAACCTTCTGTTTGAAAAAGTACGAGTCATTCTTTGTTTTAATCCAATGTACAAGAGGTTTGTCCGATAGCTACGATGGTAATTATAAATAGTTCAGCATGTTTCACTTTACTTGTGGTAAGAATTAACATTAATGATTATGTTTATATATCATTTGATGTTATAATAACACTTAAATAAATCTTCAAAAATGTTGATCCTTGTTTCACTTTTCTTGAGGTAAGTTCACTTTCCTGGAAGTCTGAACACTATTATTTATGGTGTCCAGTCAAAAGAGGTGCGACAGTTTGTGTTTAAAACATTTAAATGCGGAAAGGTTTTGCCTTTGCAAAACAGAACATGATTTCACTATGCTATTAGAGTGTATACATTTCATTTGATTTTAATCAATATTAAGATATTTCATTTTGTGTGTCAATGTTTCAATTATTAAAGTGTTGTTTCCTTGATTTTAATCAAAGAATGAGCTGTCTTTATTTATTGGAAATAATTGTGAATGCTCATCAAGTGAAAAGATACTCTCATGTACCTGAAACCAGGGCTGTGCAGAGACCTTTGGAGTGTCACAGGCTCAAAGCTAAAGAAGGGCACATTGATCAAGGTCTTTAAGCACCGTACAGCAACACAGTAACAACCCATATTCATTTATTAAGACATTTATTTGGATCCTACTACATTGTTGCCATCATGCAGCTGTTAAACAGACCAGAGGAGAGAAGGTCAAAGGTTATGAAGTTATAAAATAAGCAAATTTTATAATATTTTACTAATTAAACCCTAATAATATCTATTTCACCTACAGAACAACTTGGCTGCAGACTGATTTATAGATCAAACAGGTCAAAGGGTTTAACTCTATATAATGTCTGATGCTAACATCTCTGAGATCTAGAATTATAAGACTTGAATATCAAGGCAAAGAAAACTCAGTAGCTGCTGGTAGGGGTCCTTCAGGGGCCCCCAGACATTCAGAGGCCCCCAGACATTCAGAGGCCCCCAGACATTCAGGGGCCTCCAGACATTCAGGGGCCTCCAGACATTCAGGGGCCTCCAGACATTCAGGGGCCTCCAGACATTCAGGGGCCTCCAGACATTCAGAGGCCTCCAGACATTCAGGGGCCTCCAGACATTCAGGGGCCTCCAGACATTCAGGAGCCTCCAGACATTCAGGGGCCTCCAGACATTCAGGAGCCTCCAGACATTCAGGGGCCTCCAGACATTCAGGGGCCTCCAGACATTCAGGAGCCTCCAGACATTCAGGGGCCTCTAGACATTCAGGGGCCTCCAGAAATGGTTTAATTGTAACACAGACCATAGATCTAAACCTGTAGCATCATTTATAGAGAATGACAATGTTATTACATTTTATTTAATGCATTCAGCAGAGGAAAGAAAGTACATTTATAATTTAATTAGGAAGTTTACTTTGTAAAAGTTTCAAGCATCATCTTGAGAGTGTGATTGTCATGTTACCATGGCAACAATATGGTGTAATCTTTGTGTAGTAGTTGGGTTTATTCACATCACAGCAAACAATAATCAGCGATTGATTTTAAACTGGGCCAATAAACCTGGTCTCCCTCTCACAGATTCACCTTATCGATACTTAAACATGTTAGTGATGCTGAGGTTCTTAGTGGGGGGTTCTGTCTAAGGCCCCATATTACCTTGGACCAGCCCTGCATGAAGAGCCGCTGCGACGCGCATCTCTGTAATCTACCTGGTGAATACCTGGAACATGAAACACAATTATGCGTCTTTAATTTAGTTCCATTTAAAGACACATTAAAGACATTCAAGATATCCTAAGCATAGATATATAATATTGTCAGATTCAATGTTGGATCAGATGTTGAGGGAAGGAATGATTCCCTGTTTGACCTGTAAAGTGAACTGATCTAACGAACTCTTGGCGGAGAACCTTCACAACAGCAATCCCGGTTTATTTCATCTGCAGGACTCTGGCCCCCTCTGCAGGCCGCCATTCGTCACTGCACTCTGGAGTTTATATGGGAAAATGTTTTTCCTTTGATCAGATCAAGAAGATGAACGTTGTAGTGTCCTGTTTATCAAACTTTAGCAGGCTAAGCTTTACCATATTACATATTGTAGAGATGGATCCATATCTCCTGCATGAATATTAATATTAGTGAGTCTGCTTCAACCTGGGCCCTAACCCTGCAGGAGGAAAATGATTTTAATGACAAATGCCAAGACATTTGGACACAGCAAGTCTGATGGTTGTCATGGAGATTCAGGGTCATTGATGGAGTGGCTCTTCAGTTCTGTAGGGGTTTCCAAATTGGAAATTGGTTCTGGTTCTCATCGGGCCTGGATGAAAATAAATTGTTTTCAGTTTTCCAAAGTTGTGGTTAATTGTCCATGTCATGAAGAAGATATTCGGCACCAAATGAAAACAAAACAACCTGGAAACGAGCAGAAAATTTGTATGGAATAAAAGAGCAGAAAGCTGAGCTGCAGTTTCTGTTGATTTATCTTCCCCTATGGTTTTAAGATTACATTTTTACATTTAGTCAGATTATCTTTGATATTAAAAATCTGAAATATTTAATCATGGCATCAAACTAGAACTGCAAGCAGATATCATGGTTCCTTTCCCCACCCAGCAGGGCTGCACTGTCCACCCAAACATTTCTTTACAGTGTTTGGCCAATGGAGCCAAATCCACATTGATTTCAGCCAGCAACATGTCTGAACTTCAACATCTCTTGCCTAACTTAATCTATGGGGAATTCCAAGTTTAAATGAACCATTTAATCCATCAAATCAATGTAATGTTTATTTGACCGTAGTGTGATTTGTATTTTTGTATTTGTATTTTTCTCTTTTGTCTCGTTTCAGTTTCACACTTTTTCGCATTAAATCCTCTTCAAATACAACAATGGGCTGTTCCTTGAAGGAAGTGGCGAGAGTTTGGCTCACTTTGGGTGGAACATGCATTTATCTTCAGGACTGTCCTGCTTTTGAAGCCTCGTGGGATAGCAAACCATTCTGGAAGGTAGTCGACTTGGTCAACGCACAGAGCGCCGGCGATGATGAGACCGACGGGAAGCATGTGGTGGGGTGTGTAGGTGGGTGTAGGTGAATGTAGATGGGTGTACGTGGGGGCTATGAAGAGGAAGGTGAGGAACCCACTGTAATTGCTCGGAGTTCTAGTTTAGCTTTTTCTATTTATTTCATGCTTCCAGAGGGTCACTTGTATGTCGTCCACTAGAAGTGCTCCCAGTCTGGATCTCGGTTCTGAACCGAAAAGGTCCGGTCCAGAGTTCATTGAGTCACAGATTAAAATAAGAAGCAGGAAATAGTTATAAATATCATTTATTGTAAATCAATACAATCACAGATTCAGCTGATTGATTATACTTACTGAACAGTGAGCGACTCATGCAGTGTTGGTTTATAAAGTGGATAAAATGTTAAAGAATCAGAACCGATCCCGGTCCAAACTAAAGCTCCCAGGTTTTAGGACGTTAGATAATTTGATGTCCTAATAAAGCACTAAATGATCAGATTATGGGATAATCTGTTGTCATTTAATGTTTCAAGAATAGGAATGAAAAACCTCTGATGCTAAACATCATCAACAAACATGAGGAAGTTCTGGAAGTTCTCAGGTCCATGAATGACTCGGCAGATTACCCAACTAGAACCAATGGAGTCGTTTGGGCCTGCACGGAACCGGACCCAGGTTCTCCTGGTTTAAGTATCTACACATTATTGCTTCAAATATTTTAATCTGACTGTATTCTTCACTTCCAGAAAACCCGACTTCTTCTAAAGGTTCTGAGAGAGGATTCTGCTTGGTTCAAAGGTCGCGAAGCAAAACATGGTGAGAAACTTCAAACTAGATGAGCTGTAAAGGTGAGAAACCTCAGCAGAGTGGAGGTGACGCTGCTCACGGCGTCGCCACGGCGGATCCGTTCAGATGTTCTGGTCGGATCCGTCAGACGGCCTTGCCCAGGATCAGGACGCTCATGAAGAAGAACATGATGAAGAAGAGCCACATGAAGAAGCGGTCCATGACCTTGGCGACCTTCCTCCACTCTGCGACGCGGCGTTGGGCGGTGCGCTGGTCCTGGTACGACCCGGCGATGGACTCCACGCTCTGCAGCAGCCGCTGGTGCTGGCAGACACACCTGGTTCTGACCCGGATCTCCCTCTGGGTCGCCCCGCCGGCCGGCTGCTCTGCCTCTCTCTCCTCGGAGTGGTC